AATAACTTCAGTGCTTCACTTAAATGATAAAATACAATGGTTTACACTACAACTCTGCCATATTTAATGTTTTTTTTTATCGTTTGATCTGTTTAACCTTGTGAAGTGAATTAAAGAAGGGGAACGTGTGTGTGTGTGTGTGTGTGTGTGTGTGTGAGGACGGGGGCCAGAGAAAGACACAGTATGTATACGGATAGAATTTTATTAAACAAATCAACAGCTAATCAAAGATAACCTAATAAACATTGACTAATCTGATTATATTTTCTCTCTATGACATTTTTATTACAATCTCATAACTATTTTCTTTATATTTCGTTTCTTTTTCTTGTATTTTCATCTTCTCTCTGCGTCTCCTCATCTTTAGCATAGTTACCCCGTCACTATTTCAGTTTTCTTTCTTTAGATTTTTTTTCGATCACTATCCTCTCTCTTTCTCTCTCTCTCTGATTTTGCCTTTGTCTTGTGATTATATGTGTCCTTCCCCTTCTTTATTCACGTTAATTTTCCCTTTTCTTTATCTCTCATGCCTTTTGTGTTCCGGCTAAGTGAGAGAGAGAGAGAGAGAGAGAGAGAGAGAGAGAGAGAGAGAGAGAGAGAGAGAGAGAGAGAGAGAGATCTTATAGTGACCCTTGATAGTTTCTACAACACGGGAAGGTGCAGTCTTAAAATAAACATTTCCGTCCACGAAACTCATCACATTGAATTGAGTAACCGCAGTCATGTTAGTTATACAGTCATTTATTAGTGAGACAGAGGTAACGAACGTATCTCTCACTGTTATATCCAGGGTTCAGTCCTTGGGGTATCCACTGTAACCCAACCAAACATGGCAGGTTTCTCCGGGTGCTAAAGTTCCTCCTGTGCTAACACTGGACAATGAAGGTGAAAACAAGGTTACAAAGAGGAGACTGCCCGCCCGAATGACTAATAACCTCATAATTGGTGAAATGTTGAATAAATAAATAGTTCACTTGCTTAGCAGTTGTGTTTTACTCCATATTCCTCTTATATTTCTTATCCTAACAATTAACACCAATTAGGAGACAAAATTACGCGCAGGGTTTTATTGGTCTTATCATTGTTTGTCCAGTCGTCTCTTGAAGGTCAACACATAAGGCGACTCAACCGGCCCGGGTAAGATTTTTTTATACCGCACCTGTACAATATCCAGTGAGATGTAGTATTGTCTCACCATGATCCATACTGAGAGGCCGCAGGGAGAAGGTCAAGTGATAATTGAAAGGGCAAGAAAAGAATAAGAGAATGGAGGACATGTGAAGAGTGAGAATAAAAGTGTCCAACGGTGCGGGTGTTCAACGTGGAGGTGGGAGTTAGGGTGAAGAAAGTGACTTGCCTGAGGCTGTTAGTGGTGCTGACACACTGTGAGGGACTACGGGTGACAGGTGAGGAGGATATACTGGAAGGAAGATGTTTAATGTAGTAGGAAGGATCACTAGAGTGGAACAGCCATTGGTGTACCCAGGAGAGGGAGAGAGTACCCAGCTCTGCCTCCCCTCCACCCATTGTTTTCATTAGCTATAACACGTCCACCACCTAGATGAGGGAGATAGTCTATCAGCCGCCTCATCACCTCCCCAACACGTGTGAGTGGGTGGTAGTGTTCCTGCAGGACTTCCTTGTTGACCTTTTGATTATAACCTTCTGCGGTCAGTGGAAAACAAAATGGAGCAACACATTACGGAGAGAATAGAAAAGAAGGGTTAATAGTATAATAATATGCACCTCACTCAGACAGCCAGCTCCCCAGGTGAGTGTGGCGGCGAAGATAAGATAATTATGATAATGCTATAGGGCAGACAACCTCACGAACTATAAACCAGTGATACCAACACCACACCCTGGACACTACCTACACTCTGAACCTTCACTGTACACGATTGATATGTGATAAAATCCTCTGATGTGAGTGTACTGTGTTACGTTCACCTGGGAAAGACAAAAAAAAATAGTTTTCTCGTATCTAAAATACACCGAGATGTGTTTCTTTACGTAAAATAAACTACTGTAGTGGCAGGTAGTAATTAAACTCAACAAGTGGACGCACCGGATATGTGACTCAGCAGAAGCTAAGTGCATGGGAGCATAAAATTCACTTAATTTATGAATTTTAAAATCCATTATGCATTTTTTTTTGTATTAGACATACTACAGTCATTACAATAAATTAACTGCTGGCAATCTAGTGGTTTGGATATGCTAGGCTAGGAAGTAATGACAAGGTATTGGTTATGTTAGGTTTGGTTATGATAAAGAAAATTACTTTCATGTTTCTGCCCAAACAAAAAATTCGAATACCTATTTGATAAAAAACGAATATGTTCAGGCGTACTTGTAAACTTTTAACCAAGGTTGCAGCCAAACTTAAAGTTTATAAAACTTAAATTATCTAATACAATATTAAATCATACCAACCTTTAGTGTTGAGAAAATTCCTTTCACCAGTGCGTGTTTCAGCATCAGTGTCAGATGGTAATTTATGGCGGGATCACAACCCAATAACTCATGTTTTAGATTTCCTATATTTCTAATCGTTTCACTAAAATCCTGCTTACATATCACTGCATTCTTCACATTAATTAAATCAGCTCTACGGCAACGTTGCGCCCATATATTTTTATATTTATTTTTCTCCTTTTGAAGTGAGTGATATTTCTTTTTTAACAGCGTGCTTCACATACACGGCACACACACTTGCTCGCCCATCACTAACTTGATTACTGGTATTACTGGTGCAACTTCAAGTTCTACTTCCATTTATAGACACCTGATTATTAGAAATAACTATATTTGCACTAAAATACAGAGTTCTTTACTGCTTTAAACCTCTGAAGGGAGGCGACGCACTAAGTGTTTCTTTTAGAGGCGGGACAACCGTACACGCCCCCCCCCCCCTTGCAGCTCATTGACTCATTTATAATATTCGATTGATATCGATATATCACAAATAAATTTATATAAAACCGTTAAGGTACCCAAATCTGGCTAACTTTAATGCTGGATTTAATGTCTGTCAAGGTATAACTGCCTGACAACATTAACTTTTAAAATATGAGTGAAAAAAGTTTGAAATAAATAATATTTTTCGTCGGGGTCACAAAAATATTTACGCTTCCTGAAACACATTCTCCATTACTTCTTATTTTCACTGTTGTTTGTTTGTTTCATAAATGACATGCCTGATGCTGTACACTCCTCCATACAAGCTTTTGACGATGACGGCAAGTTATTTCGGGAAATCAAGAACCAAGCGGACTGTAAAGAGCTGCACAAGGATTTCTGTGAGCTTCAAGAATGGTCGAAGAAATGGCTGCTGAGATTCAATGTCACGAAGTGTAAGAGGATGCACCTGGGGCGTACCAACGGTAAGGAGGCGTATCATATGTCCCAACGGGATGAAGAAACTGCACTATTTGAGACTGAATGTGAAAAGGACGTAGGTGTGTATGTTGACAATGAGCTGAAGTACTCGGGCCATTGCGAGAAGAAGGTAAATCAGGCAAATAAATTATTGGGTCTTATAAGAAGGTCGTTCAGATATCTAGACGGTCCGTCCCTCGTAACGATCTTCAAGAGTGAAGTGCTTCCCCATCTGGAGTACTGGCATCCCGTCTGGTCCCCGAGATATGCTAGGGACTGTCAGTTGGTTGAAAATGTTCAAAGGAGGGCCACCAGACTGGTGCCTGCACCTCGGCACCTCAACTACCTTGAGAGATTGGAGCGCCTGAACTTGCCTAGCTTATACTACAGACGGGCAAGGGGCGACCTAATTGAGGTGTATAAACGTCTCAAGGGACACTACTCAGTTAAGTGTCCTTACTTGGAGCTGGCGGACGCTCGCCCCACAAGGGGTCACAGCTCAAGATTGAAGAAGCCGCAAGTCCAGAAAACTGTGAGGGCAAACTTTTTTGGAGTGAGAGTTGTGAACTCTTGGAACAATCTACCACAAAAGTGTTGTGACGGCGCCGAGTGTGAGCTATTTCAAGACCGGACTTGACCAACACTGAAGCAGGTTCAGGTACATTCAGGAGCCGGTGCATGTCCAGTACTTGCCAACAGTGTGTAAGAGACGTGACCGATCGCCCAAGCGGCTAACGAGCCGATCAGTGGTGAAGGGAATATCAAGGTAAAAAGTAAATGTTACCAAACATATAAAGCAACAGATAGAAATGACTATTTTATAAAGAGTAAAATGAACTGTAAACACCACATATTCGCGCAAAGGTTTCGTTTAAGATGAACGTTAAAGGAGTTATTGTTTTCAAGCAATCATATCTTTACATACATTAAATGCACCACCAAAGTGAACCAGAACTGGCTTTCCTTAACATTTATGTATTTATCAATATGCGATATACAGTATCAATATTAATCGAACGTTATATATGAGCCAATGAACTGCAAGGAGGCAGGTCACCTTAGGTTATTGACAATTTAACACCGGCACTTTTACATAACATTTTATTTAGCTAAGACCCTGTATCACTTTATTTACAGGGAGTCATATGCAATGATAGTTCCAATACGCGGCCGTTCATCTACTTGCTGAGTTTATTTACTGTGGATAGTGTCTAAGATTGAACAAGTGATATTTCAGATATAAATACATACTACAGTACTGGAACAGAATTTATCACTTATACATTATCATCTACCTGAAATTGACACACAAAGCCGCGATGTTTAATATATAAATAAGGAAAAAGACACGGGTTATTTATTTACAAACTATTAAATGAACTCAACAACAGATGATTTACTGTGTGGATTAAAGGTATTCCCTATAGAATGTGTTCGTATGATGACCTTACAAATGAGGATCAATAAAAATACTTATGACTAATTTATGAATTTACAAAATACTAAAACTAATACATAAGTTTACACGGATAGTAAAAAAAAAAGTTATGAAACAGATCATATTTATATAGATGTGATTGAATTTAATATGTTGAAATCAGATGTAGTGATCGGGACACGGTGTCAGCTGTGTTTACATGTTACTTCCGTGCATGTGCTCATTCTGGTCTCTCTCATCCAGCTCAACATGATCAATCTTCTCTCCTGCTGAGCATTAAGTGAGCTTTTCATGATGACAAACTACAACTTAAATCATATTTTTATATAGTAGTGTTAGAGAGAGTACAATATTGAAGGAGACTCAGAGTAAAGCACGGCTTGACTTGGCTGGGTGACGCGGGATGCTGTCTTGGCTTATTTTTACTGACCAGATTTTATGTATTTTGAGTATTAACGTTAATTTGTATACTCTGGAGGAATTACCAGCTAATATTTTGAAGATATAGATGAATTTAAATCCATGAAAAATGAATTAAGAGTAATATTGATGAGTCAAGATAGGGCGGGGGTGGAGGATTTTACTTAAAGGCGAATGCTTATTTTGAATGTTGTTTTGTTTTTTTCTGATAAATATGACACTATTCTGTTTATTTTGTGTGTGGGGAGTATAAAACAATGTTAGTGTGGGATTCTTACGACTGGGTGTCTTGAAAATTTCCTAAGTAATACTTGATCGGTGTACCTCCAACTCGGCCCACCCAGTTAGCCAACTCGGCCCACCCAGTTAGCCAACTCGGCCGACATTAAATAACCAAGTGAGCCCACACATTACTAACTCGGCCCACCTTGCACACTTCAAACAAGTAGCTGACTAGAGGTTCAGGAATGTGTTTGAAATTTGTTTTATGTCTCTTTTGGTTCTTTGAAATATGAAGAGTGTGAATGAGTGAATACCGAGGGTTCAGTCGGTATTAAGGACGAATTTTATGAGTTTATGTTAGTAGAACTTGATCAGTGAACAATTCACGTTCGTAACTTGTGCTTCTTCAGGTGATTTCGAATAGTTTGAAATTATTACTTTCAGCAATTTGCCTACAATTTATGATAAACTGATTGGATGGTAGTTAGAGGATAGTGATCTATCTCCTTTCTTGAAAATCGGCATCACATTCGATATCCTCCAGGATTCTGATGATACACCCGTTTTTAATGACATGTTAAACAAATTTACAAAGGTGCATACTAAGCTCTTCCTTACATACCTTTAATACTCTGGCAAATATCTCATTGGGTCCTGGTGACTTATTAGGCTTTAGTTTGTCTATTTGCTTATAACATCGTTACTTGTCACTACTATCTCACTTACTCTAGTTTCTTCACTATCTCTGTATATAATCGGTGCCTCAGGCATTATGTTTAAATTTTTAGTGGTGAAAACTGTTGAAAAATATCTGTTCAGATTATTGCTTATTTCTCCGTCGTTATCAGTTGGTTCGCCGGTATTGGTCTTATCTTGTGTTTTAGTTTGATACATTTGAAAAAATCCCTTGGGGTTTGACTTCTCCTCCCTTGCTACCTTCAGTTCATTATTCCTCTTTGCTTTTCTTATCTCTGACTTAACCCTACTAGCCAATACCTTATAATAATCTCGGAGGTAAACTTCATCACAATTTATTCTCCAACCTATAGCATTCCTTTGGCCAATAATATTCCTTAAATAATTATTTATCCATTTGGGGTCATTGTTATTTGATCTGAGTTTTCTGTATGGTATGTTCTGCCTTTGTGCATTAAGTAACTCATTATTTAAATTGTTGTGGAACTTGTCAACCTCCGATCTTGTGATCAGGTCATCCTCAACCATCATATCTTGTAAGGTTGTCAGGTCACCAGGTAAAGTCAGGTCACCCTTTGTGGGTACATTGTTGTGGAACTCGTCAACCTCAGATCTCGTGACTTTATCAGTAATGTTTGTACTTTTATGCTGCTTTTTGTCATTGTGCTTTTATCATTCAGGCATAGTTTAAAGGGTACACTTTTAAGTATTTTCTTGTGATTTTATTAATATCTACACACATCACGTGGCTGTTTATCAGTAATGTTTGTACATCTATGCTGCTTCTTATCATTGTACTTTTGTACTTTTATCATTCATGCAAAAATAGATGTGTAAACTTTTACTTTTTGGTCCGAATAGGTTATCCGAGATGAGATGTGGGTCGAGTTGGACTGTATTCCACTTGATCATTAGCCCCACAGTCAGTAGAACAAGGCCTGACGTGGCTGTGATGAAGGAAACTAAACCATCTTGGTAGTGTCATAGTTCACTGGTTGTTTGTTTTAAGTCTTGGAAGTGTGTTGAAGGCAAGAGGAGGCCACAACCTAGCTTCATAAAATGATTATATACCTGACGAGATGGCAGAGTAAACCTTGTGAGTGATAAGTGATACAATTTTATTATATTTTAGAAGATTAAAATGATATTTATGACATTAGAGGGACCACTTTCCGTATATGTTTGTGTTTTCTCTCAATGCCTTGTCCCATATATCATTGCCTAAGCACAGGTGACTCAGTCAAATTAAGAAAAACTGCTGAACTATGATTATAGCCCCAACAAACCCCAGAGTAGTGCATATCATGCTTCCTGCCATGACCACAGGTAGTTCATTGACCTTTTTGAATTACTGAGGGAACATAAACAACAGATGCCCTGTACTGTACCGTAATACTACACAAGAGAGACGTCGCTAAACCATCTGTTTTGAGGATTCTGTTTATCAAGTAAATTTATTATTTAGATACAGTGAACCCTCACTTTATGCGGTTAATTCAACCCACGGCGGCCCGCGTAAAGTCAGAAACGCGTAAAGTGAACAACATAACATATGGGATTAATTGAAATAGAGACCGGACCGACCCCCAAACTCCACTTTTTCAGACACAATACCTACGTTGTAGTAAAAATAACTAATTAATTTTATGATGGTATGCACACACAATTAATAATTAAGAGAAATTTCAATAATATTAGGTTTTTTAACACTTACATTAGTAGAAAAGATGGCTGGGCACACGGGGATGGGGGGTTGGTTCCGAGGCAGAGGGCAGATTATTGGCCCTCACCTGTATCACTTGTATCAATTGTATCACTATCCACCACAGAGGCTTGCAGGGCCTCTTTGTCAAACCCCTCAAAGTCCATATAAGTCCATATTCTCACTATCATTATCACTATCACTGACTTGGGCCGGCTGTGGTGGGTGGCGGGTGAAGAACTCGGTAATGTTTTGATGACTGGGCGACCTTGTGCGCACCCTGCTCGCGCCGCTCTCCGCGTAAAGGGGTACACGCACCGCGGAAAGTGAGCATTCCGGTTTCGGCAGTGTACCGCGTAAACTTGGAAACACGTAATGTGGGACCGCGTAAAGCGAGGGTTGACTGTATACTGGCTGTTTCTGTGTTAACATATCCAGTATTGGACATTTAAATAACTGGCCTTGAACATACAGTAATTAGGAAACAGAAAGTAGCCTGATGCCTCCATTTATTTGGTTCTTTGGTAAATTAACAAATATGTAATCTAAACCATGTCGGATTTTTGTAGAAATGAATCAGTGAGCATCACCAAACATGCGTACATCTCACACAGGAATTTGCTCCTACTAAAATCAGACATAGTTCAATGGCAGGTTTTGTTAATTTGCTGAAGTACCTTAACATCAGGGTGCAGATCATCCAGGTGTGGTGGGTGTCCCGGAGCATTCTCCAAAATTAACAAAATCTTGAATGCAATCCCTTGTTGCAGACAATACTCCTTGGCTCGTGGATTGAAACAGGTCAGGAACCAATCCTCAAACATAAGAACATAAGAACATAAGAAAATAAGGAGTCTGCAATAGGCCGGTTGGCCTGTGCATGGCAGCTCCTGTCGAGAGTTACTACCACTCTCTATCATCCATGAATCTATCCAGTCTCCTTTTGAAACTTTCCAGCTTTCCAGCACTTACTACAAAGTTGCTAAGCTTGGTCCACTCGTCCACCACTCTATTTGCGAACCAGTTCCTTCCTATCTCCCTCCTAAACCTAAACTTATCCAACTTAAATCCGTTGCTTCGAGTCCTATCCTGCTCGGATATTATAAGAACTTTATCTACCGGTATACTGTATCCCCTTTATTGATTCCTTTCACCCACTTAAATACTTCTATCATATCTCCCTGCACTCTTTGTCTTTCTAGGGAATGCAAGTTTAGTTTCTTTAAACTATCATGCTATGGTAGGTTTCTAAGTCCCGGAATAATTTTCGTCATTCTTCGCTGCACCGACTCTAGTGAATTGATATCCATTCTATAATAAGGGCACCAGAACTGAACCGCATAATCAAGGTGCGGCCTGACTGGCGCAAGATATAGTTGCAATAAGACCTCTGCACTCTTATTACTTACACTTCTAGATATAAAACCCAATACTCTGTTTGCCTTATTTCGAACATTAACGCACTGTTTTCTAGGCCGTAGGTCCGGGCTTACAAGTACCCCTAGGTCTCTCTCACAAGTTGACTTCTCTAGGTTGATGTTGTTAAGGCTGTATACATTGACAGTGTTTGTTCTTCCAATATTAAGTATCCTGCACTTGCTGGTGTTGAATTTCATTTGCCATTTTTCAGACCACCCCTGCAGTTTATTTAGATCCTCCTGTAATGCATTTGCATCCTGCCCTGAATTAATCTGCCGCCCTATTTTGGTGTCATTCGCAAACTTGCTTATGTCACTGCTGATCCCAGTATCTAGATCGTTTATGTAGATTATGAACAAGAGTGGGCCTTGTACTGACCCCTGGGGAACCCCACTGGTTACACGGCTCCACTCAGATTTAACACCATCTACGCTGACCCTCTGCGTTCTATCGGTGGGCCATGATTTTATCCAATTTAAGACTTTCCCCTCGATACCATGAGCCTTAATTTTTCTCAGAAGCCTCTGATGCGGTACTCTGTCAAATGCTTTGCTAAAGCCTAAGTAAATAGCATCTTAATTTTCGTCATTATCTACTACCTCGAAGACTTTCCTAAAAAACGTCAGCAGATTTGTTAGACAAGATTTTCCCTTTGTAAACCCATGTTGAGAGTCATAGATTAATTTGCTTTTCTCTAAATGCGATCTGATGCTATCTGCTATAATAGGGTCATCCATGCTTTCTCGTTACTGCGATAAAGCACTGACAGTGTGTGCTTGCTGACATGTTTAAAAACCCTTGGGTTCTCTGAATGATATATCATAAAGGGCTTTATCTTGAAACCAGCTACATTCCTCCCCAACAGAAGTGTGATTCGGTCCTTGAATCCCGGCATTGTTTTCGCCTCTTTGTGGATGTATATCCGTTCTGACATGCACTTCCATAATAAGCCAGTTTCATCCACATTAAGTATTTGCTCAGGCAAATAATTTCCCTCCACGATGACACGATCTAGGCCCTCCTTAAAAGCTTCGGCAGCACCCACATCAGCACTTGCTGCCTCTCCACTCGCCTTTACACTCTGCAAACTGTAGCGGTTCTTAAACCTTTGGAACCACCCATGACTTGCTGTGAAGGTTTGGTCGCACTCATCTCCTGCTTGCTCCTTCAGGCTTTTGAAAAGGCTTCTTGCCTTAGCTTGTAGGGTTAGAAGGCTTAAGGCTACATGCTTTTGTATCTGATCTTCCATCCATATCACAAGTAATTTTTCCATCCCATGAAGAGGACCTTGTCTTTTCTTCGTTATTATAGTTCCCTTTATAGGTGCTGATCCTTTCACTGCCTCATGAATACGTTCCTTGTCCTTCAAAATAGTAGATATGGTCGAGTGTTAGAAGCCTAGGTCGCGTGAAATGGTTGCTACTGTTTTTCCATTTTCATACTGCATTATTATCATAATTTTCGTCTCAAAAGTAATTGACTGTCTCCTTTTCTTCTGAGCACCACCAGCACTCTCATTTCTATGCTTGCTAGTCATTCTAAAGTGAATTAGATACGAAAATATTGTCAGTACACAGTGCGATCACTATCGACAACAACGACAGCCAAACACCAACTAAGCGCTCTACGGCGTGGGTGGTGTAGCCACGAGGCGACCCAGCCCACACGACGCTCTCGTACGGGACGGAAATGTTTCGGCCTAGAAAATATGCGCGTCATTTGAAAAATTTTTGGTACCGACTGCAGCGGTCGTATGTGCAGGTGGTTGTACCGACTGAGGCAGGTCGTAGGTCGAGTATGTTGTAAGTCAAGGAGTAGCTGTATATACACTGACACAAATATTTTAGTGAAAATCCCATAAAACACAAGCCATTGTTAAAGACAGACTTTTGTAAAATTTCATTGGGATCAAGGAAAAACTTACTAGCATTGTGAAAATAATGTTTTAGATATTCATACAAATGAAATAATCAACCATAAATTAACTTAAAGTCAACCAAAAATCTTAAGGTTACTTTAGGTTAGGCTAGGATTGATTTGTTAATAAACTTAACAGTCACCAATGCAAGACACTGAATCATTATCTGCCTCTCAACTGTAGTCTGGTCACACAAAGTTAACTGAAGAGTCTTGGTGAAGTTGTAGTGTAAAGATTCTATATTACTGGAGTTTTTGCTGTGAATCTTTACGTAAGGCTTGAAAATTATGTCTTCTATATTCTTACGAAGGAAACTTAAGTTGACCATGGAAGTGGACAAGACTTAGAAGATAAAGGAAATTGGTTAAAAAAATTGAAAATTATGAAAGTTATTGTCATTTAAGGGAAACAAAATTCACAAGTGCAAAACAAGGTGCCAATTTATTACAGTTGGCGAAGTGAGAGGAAATCGAGTGCATGCCAGCCACAGTGCATCCTAATGTACCAAGAATAGGCTTAGTCTGTAGTGTGTTGTTGTATCTTTGTTGCCAGTAATGGATCATCAGGCCTATGTGACCCTCTTTCACTGTTGACACCAAGATTGTTTAGTTTTTAATTTTTTGGACCAACTTCTGTTTATGATAATTTACTAGGCTCTACATCTGCCATAGTACAACACACCTGTCATAGTACAACACACCTGCCTTAGAACAATACATCTGCCATAGTACAACACACCTGTCATAGTACAACACACCTGCCATAGTATAACACATCTGCCATAGTACAACACACCTGCCTTAGAACAATACATCTGCCTTAGTACAACACACCTGCTTTAGTACAACACACCATTAGATAATTAATCTTTGTTTACTTTTCAGGGGAGATGAAATTAGAGAAGCCAGCTGGTCAACAGTTCCACAAGTGAATTGCATCATGGAGGAGGAACTACTGGCTCTCAGATGGAACAATCACTTGTCTACCTTTGCAGCATTACTCTCAGACCTGCGTAATGAGGTAGCTATGTTTAACTTACCTCTCTCTAAAAAAAGTTTGAGTACAATAGTAATTTTTTGGTATTTGGTGAAATCTGAGGTAAAATACAGACCAAATTGTAGTGGTTGAAATTTTAATGTTTCTATACTGTAGTGGATAATATGACCAATGAAAATAATAATATGTCCGACCCAAGATTTATGTGACCTAGATTTTTCCAGGGTTAAAAAGAGAACAAGATATTGGAAAGTTCAACAATGAGTTCATTACAGTGCAAACATTACACATGTCTTAATATTGGAAGATAAAATTCACCTTAATTCATTATACTGTAGGTGGATATAAAGGAAGACATATTTGATTGTATAGTATTAATAATGTTCATAGTGTTTATCACCTGTATATTTCAACACCCCTGGAGCTTTTGTTGTTGTCCAACTTTTCATAACCTTGTAAATGCAACTTAACTAATGAGGTTTGAGGAAGCTTGCCAGGCTTTACTGAGAGTTCAAGTTACATAAGAAGCTGATACAGTAGTACTGGGACCCAGGATGCCACTAACAGCAATGGGAGGTATTTGAGCTCCTCAGACAACTGTTACAGTGCTTTGTGTTCTTTCTGGATCCTCACAAGCTATGTTGAGTATTTTCCTCGATCTGATCTGCTGATTTTTTTTATCCCCTTAATTTTTACATTTTATCTTTACAGTAATATAGAGACTTGGCTTTAGACCAGTAAACATGGAGAGACAGTTCCTTCCTTCTCATCTATGACATATGCCTTAACAGGATTCTCTTATATAGAAATCTCTTATATTTGTTACAAAATCTTTCCTAAGATCTACACTTTATATGGTATAGCACCTGTAGCCATGATGAGTCCACAGAGCCTTTCAAGGATAAGGGAAGTACTTCACATAGTACACTGGTCTTGGTCAGCAAAGGGCTGGTAGTAACACCTCACACCTCTCGGCCAATTGTAGGAAAGCTAACAGACTAAATACAGTACAGTACTCTGAAGATGCAGCTCATAGTCTTGTTCACCATGACCTACCTTATGATTGGGTCTCCATGTGTCACACTAACACCACTAGGCTGCATACGGTATGGGAAAAAGAGGGTGACAAAATGTACCTCATATTATATCAAGTATTTTGTAAGGGAATTTGAGTTATTTCTCCAGCGTACTGCAAGTTGTATGGGTAAGGAGGACCATGTTGCCACACTCGCACTCACACACATACAGTACAGTATATCCCTTAAAGGTCTGACGAATCTTGGGAAATCTCCCTCCAGAAACTGAATAGTTGGCTAAAAAATTAAAATCATAAAATGAATGTTCTTGTCTTATGAAATGTTAGACATACATGTTAGCCAATAGGAGATAACATAATCATTACTGTGCTTACCACCTATGGTTGTTGACAAGTCTGAGAAATCGGCGAGACATCGCGCCTCAGCACCCCTCTAGCAGATATCGTGCATCTGGGAGTGAACGGTGGTGCACTACCAACTCACTCCATGTTCTTACAACTTCACAACACCTTCACATGGTTCCTTATTATTACACTGTATACAGTACATTCACCACTCTGTGGTTTGGAGTGGCAGGGCTTGGGAGCTGGAGTTCTAAGTGAGTAATCCCAAGAGGTAGACATGCAACCTTCCTCCATGGTGACAACTGTTATACTGATTATTTGCTTAATATGCGGTCAAGGAGAAGTATGGGTGAGCAGGGATGAGCTATTGCCGCAATAATAGTCACGCTACCCACGTATGAAAATTTAAAAAATGAAGCGCTAGATTGACGCCATCAGACCCCTACTACGTTGGGAGCTCTGGGACGACGTCAGACTTTTAAGGGATATATATTTATATATTTATTTATTCAGTCAGGAAATTTATTGATATGTTTGTCTTTTCAGGAAACATATTCAGATGTGACTATTGCCTGTGGTGGGAGCCTCTATCCCGCTCACAAGTTTGTGTTATCAGCATGTAGTGAATATCTGCGTGCCATGCTGTGTGCCCACCCAAACAAACATCCCATCCTCTACCTCAAAGTGAGACCTGTGAAGTTGTGTAATGCAATCTCCAGTCTGAGTTATGTTTAGTATGTTTTGTGTGTTCTACATGCTAGGAAGACCCATGAAGCATTATTCCTTGTTCTTGCTGAGTGAACAATCTAGTCTGTTCCTCAATCTCAGGAGATGGTGAGAAATAAAGAAGAAAAGTTATTGCAACTTTAGATTCACAAATACAATAGTGTAACAATTTTTATGTACTGTATACAATTTTCTAATCATTCATCTACCAGCCTGTGGTGTCTGTTATCAAGCACTATTTTAGATCTTCAGATGATTGAAAGACTTCCTAAGATTGTTAATATATTGGGAATGTTTTACTTTACATAAAACAGTGGAAACCAAGAAAACTGAAAGAATTGTGAGAACCAGGAGAACCAGGATATTGATATTCATTGATTTTTACATTAATTTTCTCCAAAAATGAATGAGGTTGTATAAGTGATGCACAGAAGCATACATAACCAAATGTATTTTTGCCCTTGACATTTGGGAATAGTGAATAATGTATGAAACATCATTATTCTGAGGAATGACCTTCTGATTTCCATAAATTCCACCATACAGTAAACAAAATCAGTGAGTGGCCCGATACAGCAGGCGGTGCCAGTGGTTATTGGGATTGTTAATCTTTGTAGCTAAAAAAGATAATAGTCTTGGGATAATCAACTGTGGATGTTTCAGTGTCTTAGCTTATAGGTTAGAGATGCAAGAACTGGTGTGTAGAAGTTTTTAAAGGAAAAAAATTTCAGACATTATAATTATGAATACACCATATCCCTGGCTTCTCCATGGAAGTGAAATATTTGTCTGGTGATTATTTTTTCTGTATCTGCACAAAGATTATATTTCAGGTTTTTCTATGAGCTTTTCAGAATTTTTGCTGCTGTTGTTTGCAAGGAAATTTATGTTTGTTATTGGGAATTATGCTTACTGTACAGGATGTACCGAAGGAGGACTTGGAGGCCATCTTGGACTACATGTATGCAGGGACAGTGAGAGTGGCTCACTCTGGCTTGGCTTCTCTCCTGCGTACTGCTGAAGGATTGCAAGTAAAAGGTTTAATCCTCACTGAACAGTTCAGTGGACATGTAAATAGTGAGTATTTGGTGAGATGTTTGTTGCTTGCTGTTCACTTCATTTTATGTAGGAAAATACTGTATAGAGAAATATGGTGTCTGCTGTTATACTACATTAGTAACTGAAACAGCAACAAGAGTGACCAAGAATTGGTTATAATCTGCAGATGATTGCTAGATCAAAGTAGATGTTACCAAGATATATGATACATTATGGTCATGCATTAATAAAGGACACATATTTCAGAGCTGTCACAGTCCAGTACAAAGAGGAAACTCGAGGAAGATGACAACAAGCAGCTGCATCCTAGCACTTCTTACAAACATCCACGAAAAGTCACAAACAGAACAGTGCCGCCAACACCTGCGACCTGTGTCACTCCTTCCTCGAGTGCCACAACACCAGCTCCACCATCCTCAGAACTGCCCGAGCTGATGAGGTCATCAGCCAGACTGTACAAGCAAGAGTACATTGGTATATGGGATGAGAAGAGTAACCAAGAATTAGAGGCTGGTGACTCTGGCTGTATAGGAGAGTCAATTTGTTACTCTGAAAATGACAAACAGAATGAGGTTTGAGAAATTTAAATCTTATGTTTTGCTGTTTTTATTTGATATTTTGTGGAGTTTATAATAGTTTGGCATTGTGTGTGTGTGCTTGTTGACATTTTGGCTTTGGCATTATGACATTTGATCCGTGTATTAAATATTTGGAGTGTAATTTAAAACTTGTATGAAATTCCTTAATACTGTACAAGTTTGTATAGGCAGTGTATTAAACAAGTGAAAAAGCTGCTCCTGCATCAAAATTGATCTATGAAGGCATTAGGCCGTGGCCGCACTGAGAGCGGGCAGGTGGGAGCGGGCTGGCGTATTTGAATGGCTGCACTGGAAGCGGGAAATCGCCTTCCCGCCTTCTGATGAAGGATCAGTACCTTGGTAAATTCACTTAATATTAGCCTGATCATCAAAGCCAGTGTTTTACTGTGTATATAGGTACTCCCTTGCAAAATTTATGCAACATCTCTCACATTGACTATGCTGTTATAATGTAATTTGTACTTTAATAGATATTCGTCCATGGATATAACCCATTACTATACAGATACAATTGGTATGAACTAAAATAAACTTACCTGAAACTCCAAGCTTCTCTCCAATCCTCCATTGCAGTGCAATAAATTCCCTGTCGCTGTGCTTCGTGTGGGATGCATCCCAAGTAGAAGGTGTGAGGGAAACTTCAGTGATGAGCTGATCTACGTCCATTTTTCTACACTGCACACATGTGGGCTCAAGTGGGAAAAGTCATCTACTGACGTTTCCCGCTTGGACCCGTGCAGGCTCACGCTGTTGCCAGTGCTGCAAAGTTTTCCGCCCCAGTCCTCGCCTGCCTGCTCCCAGTGTGGCCACGGCCTTAGTTGAGGGCTGCTAATATCCAAGTGACCCATGTCTTTGTATTTAATGCTAGTTATTCTACACTTACAGGGTCAAGTTGACACTCTTAAGATAAAAGAAGAATCACAAGATCCCGAGGACTCAAACAGCCAAGAAGCCAAAGATGAGAACAACAGTGAGGACCAAGAGGTGGATATTAAAGATGAGGTACTGGATTGGAAGGAGGAGGAGGAGGAGGAGGAGGAGGAGAAGGCAGCCAATGAAAGAGATGTTAATAAAGATGAGGAAGAAGAAGGTTTTGAAGGATTTGAAGAAACAGAAAAGGATGAAAATGAGGATGAGGATGAGGATGAACCGCCAGAAAGTGGGGACGTGAAGGATGTTAAGCCGAAGGAAGATTTATCTCCTCACACTCAGTCGTCAAAGGATCCAAATCTTGTATGTGAATTGTGCCTTTTTTTTTTTTTTTTATCCATCCATAGAGAGTAAACATTTTGTGCTAATATACAGTCTTGTTGTCTATCTCTGGATGGCAGTATATAACCTTTCCCTTGTCCAAACGTTAACTCTTGTCTTGATACAGATATTTTGATGTACACTGTGGGGTATCTTAACTCACTCATATACACTGTAAGGCACCCAGCTCATCCATGTGTACTGTGGGATAACCAACTCATGCTCTTGGACATCCAGCTCTTTTTATATGTATATATATATATTATATATTATAGACTCACCTAATCTGACTGAACCTAACTCATCTGTATACTGTATGTGAAAACCCAACTCATGCACACACACTTCAGGGAGATCCAAATTTTTCAGTTTATGATGTCAGTCTTTCATTCCACATTTTGTCAGGTTTTCCTCGTCTGGTCTCTCTCTCTCATCACTCACAAACACACTTAACCCTCGTGTTATTTTTACTGTTCTACATATGGGTCATTTAAAGTAGCTTATAAGAGAACCTGTTCCCTAAATGTTCTATGTATACCCTTGTGAGAGAGAACAAGTAGTTTAACAGCAGGTATACAGTCTAAACTAATAGGTGGCTAGGTAATATGTAGTTATGATTCCTTTTCTCACCCAGTTGATTCAGGATTGTTGGATTCCACTTAAAGCGGTGGTTGACTCGAGGTCCATTGAGCCTATTACCAGTATGTTGACTTAGATTCATTGTGTTTGTGAATTATCTTCAGCCATAAAGAAGAGTTCATAGATCATCTCATCTTCACTTATCTGTCATTCACTCACCAAACACAACACATTTCAGCTCCACATTTTTTAGAAGTCCAGACATAATCTTTTGGTGTCATTATCAAAGTCACCTGAGTTGTCGATGTGTTCAGGTGAGTGGTGAGTCAGGTTTAACCAAGTTCATAGTGTAAGGTCAGTTGGTTCTGATTGTTAACGAGTAAATTTGTGTTAGGACCAGTAAGAGAGGTGGTTCTTTTGTCTTCCATGGTTCTCTTTTTTTGTGGTGTCAGGTGCTTAGTTCATTTGGTCTTTAAATTTTTAATAGATGCTGATTAAAGTACCTTGTTTAACTTTATTTTTGTTACTAACACATTGAACATTTCTCAGGCAAGCTTCTTGGAGGTGATGTGCACCGAGAACGACGTAGCAAAAGAGATAAAAGAAGAATCGGGAGACACCAGTTACGGGGATTCATCAGTGGTGCCAAACGGACAGAGAGAAGGATCATCACGAGCCCTGAGTCAGCAGTGTCCATTTTGCCTGAAGCTGCTGACGACCCGGTCCAACCTTCAGCGTCACATTGCCACCCATCACCAGCGACAGTCTTTCACATGTGGAACGTGTGGGAAAACATTTACTCGCAAGGTACAGTAAGAAATGGCAATGTCTGTTTTTCTCTGTTTATATAAATGTCTCTGTTGTAAAAGGGATATAATTCTCAAATGCTTTATATCCTCTGGGCCAGAGAAGACAATGGGAAGTAATAACCAGTATGGGAAATTTTATGGTTATTGTTATCATTGTACAGTATCAGGTAGTGAACACTACTATATTGAGGGTAAGGATATTAAGGTGTAAAGGCTTCTGTCTGATATACAGTGCAGTACTGTACAGTAATCCCTCACCAAACTCAGGTTTATCAACTGCATTTTTTTTAGTTCAGTATCTATCTTTTATATTTTGTACTTTACACTGTTTTACCACCTACATTATCTACAGTGTCTAGAGATTTTTAGCTCAGAGCGGCACAAATGTTTGCTGGAAGAGTTTTATTTGGTGGTTCATCGTATTAACTTCATCAATTGTTTTCCAAATATAAATATTGCTCAAAAGTGTTTATACCTCCAAACTGTAAAATACAGCACATACTCTTTGTACGTACTCTGTATACAGTAGACCCTTGCCATTCGTGGGTTTGCGATTTCAATCATTCGCGGTAAGCAAATGGTGACTATGGTGCTAGCTTGCGAGACTTTTCCTGCACCATCTCGTGTTGTGCTCTCAAAACTGTAGTGTTTCTGTGTGAAAATGGCCCCTAAATGACTGCCTAGTGTCATTGCTTATGATGCTAGTGAAGTGAAATGTAAAAGGCAGAAGTCAGTGATGACCCTGACAAACAAAGTTGAATTATTAGATGAGTTAAAAGAGTGCTGCTGCGGCTGGCCTGTTGTTTAGAATGGGTATACAGTAGTGCACCAAGGTAGTATAAGTTGCTATTCATGGTTTTGCCTATTTGCGTCATTCCTTGGAAACTAACCCATACGAATAACAAGGGCTTGCTGTACTTAGTTTTAACCTTGAGTTGTACATTATAGGACTTAAGGTAAGTCTCTCTGGGACCAATTCCCCAAACCAACCATGGGGGGATTTTCGACCATAGCCCCTGCAATTGGTGAGAGATGACTGTACTGTGCATGTATTTAGATAGATTGCCACTGGATAGAACTGTTGCCATTATAACCAGATTAACACCTCACAGTTCATTATAATTTTGTTTGTTACAGGATCGTCTGACTGAACACGAGAAGCTTCACACTGGAGAAGCGCCGTACACTTGTGAGGAATGTGGCAAGAGTTTTTCAAGACGAGATAACCTGAACGTGCACCGACGCACCCACACAGGTGAGTATTATAGTTGCTGTAGTAGGTAACCTAAAGTTGTACTGACTCACACACACAGATTAGTATTATCGTTCCTGTGCGGGACAATGTAAAGATGTTATCAGACTCGGCTATGCAGTTCAGTATCATGATGCCTCTGTTAATATGTTTTTTCCATATTTATAGTGTCAATGATATTTTCTGCCACAAATCAGAGTGACAAATTAAAACACCCTTATCCCAAGTGTGTGTTGGGACTGTTAAGTTTGTGGACAAGTGTAAAAGTAATGAACTTGGTTATTCTCACAAAGCTTGTTAAGTAATCTGGATGTTTTTCAGGATCTGGTCACTGGTGATAATGTACTATAAATTCAATCTTAAGGATAAATGTTTTTCCAGTGATATTATTCAATCCTGCTAACTCTTGTTTTTTCAGTCTTTGCAGTTTGAAGTCTTCTTCTTTTCAGTAGACTTTAAACAAAACCTTCAGGCTGCCCAGTCACTACATATTTCTTTTACCTTACCATATTCAGTTAGGTAAATTTTTATTGTTTATCCTTTCTTAATGTGCCCCCCCCCCCTCCCCCTCCAAAACAAAGATGTAGGTAAATTCTGTAAAAACCTGTTTTTTCTTGTATCTGGCAGGTGAGCGGCCATTTTCGTGTGATGTATGTGGTAAGACATTTTCTCGTAAGGAATACATCAGTGAACACATGGCTGTTCACTCGGACCATAAACGGTTCTCATGCAGATGGTGCAGTAAAGAATTTAAACACAAACAGAGCTTGAGGCACCACATGAAAAGTGCCCACGACTCTGTCAAGGTGAGTGAGCCCCAGAGTGTGCCACTCATTATGCAAATAAATTACACTGATGAAAGTGTATAAGGTACGTATTGGAAATATTGAAAGATTTTGTTGCCATTTATCAAGTTTTGTTACTGGTTATGCAAGAATTTTTATCAGAATTAAGCAATCAAAATATTTACCTGTGATAATTAACAAAGTATAACTGTTATTAGAGCCTTACTAGATTGATTTTTTTTTTTTAGCAAGAGTTTTAAACTAATTGGCTGTGCACTTGTTCTTTGTGCAACATTGTTCTGTAAGATGTTCACTGAGATTTCTCTTGTTATCTGATACAAGTCAAGAGACTGAAAATGTTCTTGCCACATTTCTTTGCATTTTAACCCTTTTGCTGGTCACTTGTGTAGTCTAAATCTCACCTGTTAGGCAGGCCAATGATGCTGCATGCATCATCCAAAATGCATAGATTTTTCATTGAATTTATTTTTGTTTACCATTTACAGGTAAAATTATCTGACTAAGTGATAAAAGAACAAAATACTCTATATAAATGATATGGGATGGCTGAAAATCAATGTGGAAAGATAATATCTTATGCGGCAGTTCCCCGTGGTAGTGGTCTAACTAGTGTGACCGCTCAGGGTCAAGAGAAACATCTTGCACCCCACGGCTGATGTAGTGACACAATTAGTGTCTTCGGCTGGCAAAAGGGTTAAAGTCTTTACTCCATAACTTGTGACCTGAATATAACAATCTGAAAATAGAAAGTTTCTCTTTGCTGATTTATGAATTTATAATTGAAGTTTTCCAATAAAATTTATAATTTATAGAAATGTTAATGACAATACAACCTGATGACACTGTTAGGGTAATCCTCTCTTGTGTTAGTAGTGATGGTACAACTGTGGTGTTAAATGTTAAAAGTTACATTTCACTGTTGGAGTGAAACCATTCTTTGTGTGGGATTATCAGTACAGTACTTGTAATATTCATGAGTAACATCTGCTATCACTGACAGTATCAAGTTAGAAATTATCACAGATGCTAAGGATTCTGTGATGATTTTAATTATAACCTAACACTGGTAAACTGCAGAATTTTTTCTTTAAATAGTCAAGTAAATTAAACTAAAAACAGTATACCGGTATTGTTAAAGAATTTTGCTGATCTTAATTCATGTAATTTTTTACCTATTTATTTGCAATTGTTTAATAAGTTTGTTATTATGATAAAACATTGTTGGTGTAGCCTGACAGGTGAACCATCAAGCAATAACATCACTTATTGTGCCAACTTATTTACCTTTATATTAATGACCTTCATTATGGTTTCATGTAACCAGAACTCTTATAATGGCCTCTTTTATCCTTTCCATAATTGTACTTTAGAATTTATGAACTCTTCATCAAAGGGGACTTAGAAATTGTATGACTTGAGTAGTTTATTTCTACAGTCTATCCTTCCTTACATGCCTCATTTATCCCTTTGTTAAGTATAAATTCCAAACAAGTGAAGATCTTCTGGAGCTGATATACTGTACGTTTGTTATACTGTATAGGTTATTATATACTTATTGGGTCATGGCACGAACACTTCCTCTATTATTTGCAGCAATCTTCTTCCTGTCTTGCTAACAAAAGAAGGTATTGTTCTGTCCAGGAATATGAAGCTGCCTCACTCTTCAAAAAATACTTGTATAGAAAGTATAAAACCCACTAGCAATGCCAAATCTTTATGTATTTTACTTGACATATCTATGTAATTGGAATTATCAGCATGTGCAGTCATTAATGTCAATGTTTATGGTGTCTCTTGGATGATGGGTCAATGTTGCTGTCATCTGTGTAAGTATCTTAAGTTCTTGTTTATATTCTCCCACTCTAAAATGTATGTAGTGGTGGGATGCTGTCATTCTGTGTTGGTCTTCATGTGATGAGTTATGTTGCACACACTGATCCTTCACCAAACTTGACCTGGTAGTTGCTCTTGGGGATACACAATTACCTTCTCACTTAAGGTAGATGAGGTTAGGATCTCTGTGACAACATCTCTCCAACTCTCAAGACCACAGGGAAGAACTACAAAATATCCAATGTAGGATTGATGGAAGTTACTGGGCAGATTATCTTGTGGTAGTTATTAACAGATTCATAGGAGAATTACATTGATGGAAATATAGACCTGAACATAATGTAAGATTTTTTTCTTCTTTGTTATCTTGTGCCCTGGTTATTGTGTTTGGTGGTGGCTGTGTTGGCAGTACTTTTCTTGATGTGTATTTTGTACAAACTCATTCTGTCATATAGTAAGTCCTCTGTTAATTTTTTTATACCTGATTGCTTTTATAATTTGTGGGTTTTACAGCAGATGAAATTGTATTACTTATAAATATTCATTTCAATAGAGGAAATTGATTTCCAAAATCTCTAGTGGACTCTTAATTGCCATTGAAAGAAAGTTGAGGATTGTTAGCACAAATATAATACAGACTTAGCTAAAATATCTCACATAACATTTTTGGCAAAATGTTTTAATCAACAAATTTTATTGGTCATATTGTTGTGAGAAGAGCCACACCTGTGTCTCACCTCCAGAACAGTCATCACAAGTGAGACAAAATGATGACGGAGATTTTATCAGTAATGCAGAATTATGTTGCTTATTAAGCCCTTTCACTGTGGTAATAATTTCCCATTTTCTAAAGTCCCCCATTCGTTAATTTTTTTCCAATTATCAGTGATAACTGTGACTGGTGTAAAGATTGTCACCTATTGTTGTACCATACAGTGTTGTCACCTGGAGAAAAAGGCCTAAAGAGGTTTTTCAGGTGTGAATTCAGTGTGTTGCTATGTGGTGGGTAAGGAAACAAACAAAAACTAATTTTGATGCAATAAGGTTAATTTACTAAGATCCGAAGTGTGTTGTACTTATTGATACTTATACAGTACATTAATGTGATAAGAGTGCAGTAAGCAAGTGGCGTGTAACTAACGTACAGTACAAGCAAATGTTTTAGTTCTTTCATTATCATATACTTTTGCTAATGTGAGGCTCGCCACTTACTGTGCTAATAGTTACTACATATTGTACAATGTACTGCTGTGCTGTGCTGCTCACGAACCTTAACTTTCCTTTTCTCATTACCAGAAGAACTCAGCCACAGAATTTTTTAATGAAAGGAACATTAATAATTCTGAGTTTCTTAATGCTTACCTGATATAGTTAACCCACAAGTACAAAACAAAAAATTTGCATAGCTTTGTATGATGTAATGAGTCAGAATTGAGTAATGTGAAAGATGACTTAGTGCTCTATTAAGGTCACCAGGATTGGTTAATATTGATAAAGACTAAACACATACAAATAATATCTGTGCACTTGGCAGTTGAGGAACACTGCAGGAAGCCTTTATGAAAAGACTACAGTATATTGTATACAGTATTGGTGTATCTCTGATGGCATCCTCTGATAATTCACTAGACTTCATTTTGCAATTGTCCAAGAAATATCTATTCACAGTAAGAAATAAGTGTTAATATATGCGCCAAATATCTTGGTGAGAGTCTAAAGTTTGAGTCAGGGATCATCACAGAAAAAAGATTCAAAGATGGAGAAATACATTGAGGTGTATTAATGCAGCAGCAAGTGTGACCAGGATTACAAAATCAGTCACACTTGTTACTCAACAAACACATAACAGCTGGTGTCTGGTAAGTGTTGGTGTAGTTATCAGCAGCAAACAGCAAAAATACATAAACCCATTATTCCATAGATTTTATTAATTTTATAACTTGGTTGACAGGATGAAAATCTAGCATAGCATTCCCTCACACTAAACCCCTTTTGATGATAGTGTTGAATAGATGTTTGTTAGTGGCTGAAAAGGATTTTGAATTTACATTGTAAATAGAATCTTTGTTGTTTCCTGTAATTTTTTTATGAATGATGGTTCCAGGTAGTGTGACCATTATATATGTACAGTATGTCTTTAAACCTTATTCTAAGAAGTAGATGAGAGACATCAACAGCACTTAACTAAAACTAAGGTCTGAGACACTTTGGTGAGGGGGCTCTGTTTACTGGTAACAGATCCTTTATATCCTTTCATCCATTCCTCACCCAGTATCCTTTTCAGTGTTTATTAATGCAAAGAAAATGGAGGATATGTTCTTTAAGACCTGACCCCAAACCTTTCCATAGATATAAATCATTAGAACTGGTCCCCCATCCCATCTTCTAGTAGCCGTCAGTTAAATTGGTGTCGACGCTTGAGCTATAAATACAATAATAAGGTTTACATTGTTTATACCCATCAGTGAAAACTAAATATTACCTCAATATCCACCTGGTAAAAGAATAGCAATGTCCCAGCTTTACAAAATTTAAGTTATTACATGTGTTATGTATGCCCCTTCTAATAAGACCCCCCTCCCCTATGCCTCCCTTTAACTGTTTCTTTCTAGCCTTCTATTTCAATGGGTCATAGCAGAGGATCAAAGTTGGCCTGGTGATGTACTGGAGTGTGTGTCTTTCTCTGCCTAAATCTGATGTTTCTGGTATCTATCAACTGTGACTCCTGAACTTAAACATAAATTTGGGGTTTTTCAGAATTGATATGACACTGAGTTTTAGATCCAAAGGCACACTATAAATATCTTTTTCTTAAACACACACACACACACACCCACCCACCCCCACCCACCCCTACCCCCTAAAACAGCATGATACTAACTTTGACCTCTTGACATGACCTTAAAACTACATTAGACGACTTATACCTGATCCTTGCAATTACATATTATTACATCTGGACTGTTCATAACATACAGTACCTGTTAAGTAGTCAAATACTTTAGAGCAATAAAAATTCCATCCAGTGATATGTAGTAGGGTTTGTACTTTTCATTTGGAAATAGAAATTTATCAAACTGATTTTTGGATACAGAGTCTTGGTTAGTAGCAAAGCCCCGTAAAAAGTTTTTAGAGAAATAAATCGCTCATCTTTAGGAAATGTGTATCAAGTGTTGTGTAGATTGTGGTGAGTGCCGGGGCAATATATCAGTTGGGTGTGTTAACTACACTTCTTGTTTTTTAAGTACAGTATTCATTATTATTTTTCTTTTATTTTTTCTTTGTATTTTCTCTTGGTTGAGCTTTTTATGATACGATACTGTTTCTCAGTTGATATTTTTCTTTCTATGTGATAACTTTTGTTCTTCACATTGTATCATCACCCGTCAGACACTGTTCTTGTTCCTTCCTGGCTTTGATTACCTTCACTTGTCAGACACTGTTCTTGTTCCTTCCTGGCTTTGATTACCTTCACCTGTCACTGTTCTTGTTTCTTCCTGTCTTTGATTACCTTCACCTGTCAGACACTGTTGTTGTTCCTTCCTGAATATGGGGTATCTGTAGCCTTGATCCACAACACTCGAAAGTGAGTAAGGAGTGAAGATTATAGTTAGTCTTATTTCATAATGATGAAAAGTAATAAGTGTATCAAGACACTCGTATATAGATCTCGTATTGGTGTCACAGAAGCATCATAGCTGTGGAAACAATAGGTAAACTATACGTATTTTAGGTTGTCTGGAGGGCAGATGTGAACTGCTTGGTATCCGCTACATTGAATTTGTTTATCATATACTATTGTTACATGTACAGCAAACAACTTTGCCTTTTTTTTTTACACTCAGGATTGATTATGATTTTTGTACATAGTATTTGCTCAATTAGATCATCAAAATCTTAGACATAAGTTCATTATTTACCTGTTTGTGGGAAGACACCACATAGAACACAGTCAATTAAGAAAACTAACTACAGTATATGTTTGATACTACTGTACAGGACTTGGAAGTTAGAGTCTGTGGAAAAGGATGTACGATATTGTTTTATTACTAAAAAGCTTAACTCCGTCACTGAGACATATGGAGTAATCGCTTTATATTTAGTTATTCTCTGATACATTGCCAGTTTTTCACCTGGTTGACTTAAGTTATGCTTCTAATGATTTTTTTTTCTTATTTACTCTTTATATTCAAATACCCTGAAGCTGTTCAAATGAAACTTCAGAATGCAAATTTTGTGCATTAATCGTAATCTAGTTAATTATGGCCCCCATAATCAAAATACCGTAATGGTATGACATGCTGTTAGAGTAGTGTTGTGCTGTAGTAACTCACAACTACACTTTATGTTCACTCTTTCTGAACTTTAGTGTTTTGGGAGAAAACAAGAGGAACGTTGTAATTCAGTTGTATTGATGACTAGTTAACTGATGGTTTGTGTCATGTTCATTAAGCATTGTTCCTGCAGCAAATAGATGAGATAATTGGCAGGTGTGTGGTGCTCTTATGTGTGACACCAACCATCAAGTGGCAGTAATGTGCTACAGTGAGTTCTGCTATAACGCGTGTTTTGATAACGCGAATTTGCTCTAACGCGATTTATGAATTAGGAACGATATTTGTATAACGCGAACGCTTGTTTGCTATAAGGCGATTTTTGCTTACTCTTTCTCCAATTTTGTGGTACTGTATTAACTGTGAATATAGTAAAGAAGAATATCAACAAGAAGCGTTCTGGTGATAGAATTCCCGGTGATGATCGTAAAAGAAAGGATATAACACTTGAAGAGAAGCTCGATTTTATCAACCTCAAAATCACCCTTCTCCCCCATCAAGTAAAGTGTTACATTTACTGTATGATTTCATTATTAGATATGAATGTAACATTTATTTAGACTGTGCTATCCTTTGTGTTAGGCTAACTACTAAATTTTTTCGATTTCGAGTAATCTGCACCAAACCCTATTTTCTCCATAAGCCCTGTTATTTCTATTACGCGATTTTCTATAACACAATATTTTACAAGAACACAATTATCGCGTTATAGCAGAACTACCTGTACTTTTATTTGTCTCGCCACAATACAGTTACTGTGTGAGCAATTTACTCGTTGTTGCTTGTTTTTATTGTACATAATGTAAATATTTGATGGTTGTTGGATTGTGTTTGGGTACTTCAAGCTGTATAATTATTACTGATCTTGTTATAGAAAGTTTATTTTGTGAATTAATTCATAAGGTCATAATAAGTTGATGGTGTAACTGTAGGTCAGTATCCGGGTTAAGAGAACAACTCGTGTTAAACCTGTTTGGATTTTGCTTTGTCAACGATTTTAATTTTTATGTTAAGACATCAGGTTGTCTCAGAAAAACGTGTTCACAGTACATTACAGATTTTTGTGGTTATTTCATGAATAATTGGAAGACCTCGCACATCAACAAGTGAGGACATTTTTGCTGTTGTATTACAAACATTCATGTGGTGGCCACAAAAATCTGTCTGCAGTGTGTATACATTTTTGTGAGGCACCCTTATATTCTAGTAAATATTGTTGTCATATTACCTTATACTCTATATATCGTAAACTGTTCTGTTGCAAATGATATCTTGATTTAGTTTTGCCACAAGTTAAGAATTAAAACAGACTTATATTTTATGTAACTATTAACTGTTGGGTTTAATATGGCTGAAAACTATATGTTTTAGTAACTTTATTATATGTGCTCAAGGAATTTAATTTTGTGTGAAGTACAGTATTTGTGTGTATGATGGTTCTTTTATAATGAAATGAAACTGTTCCTTCAGTACCAGTAGTGAAAACTTTTGCTAAATATTAGGTACAGTAACTATTTTCAAGTAGAACAATGTAGTGATGAGAAGTACAGAAAAACCTTAGTAGTGGAAGAGGTGAAAGTCTAAAGCTATTATCCTGAACTTGAAGGAAAACAAAGGTTATGAGCCTCATTAGTTATGATACTGACACAATGAAAAGTTTAGTGAGGAAAAGAGAGAGACCAGTGTTCAGTGACAGGACATTTGAGTTGAAATGGCAAGAAGCAAAGATAAAAATATATTGAGAGAAAGTTGATGCTGTAGTGCCAGCTTAGGAAGTAGAAATCATTGCTCTATAGAGGTAAAAGATTGTGCTGTCAATTTATACTTTAACAACTAAAGACCAAAATTGTAAGAAAGCAATACAGTATTTGTAATATTTTATTTCAAATATTCGTTTTTTTTTAGGTTGGGTTGACTCATTGTTGATTAATAAATGGTTTGATGGTAAACTGGTGTTTAACTTTCCTTGTATTATAAAATTATCATTAATCTGAGTTTCTTCACTCTCTGGTGGACATGTGACAATACTGCTCTCTAATTCTTCATGAAGACAGAAAGGGGGATCGGCGGTAGAAGCGGTACCATTCTTGCCTCGCAAGCGAGATGTCACGGGTTCAATTCCTGGACCGGTGGAAGTTGTTTGGACTTACTTCCTCGCCCCCATTAGTTCCTGTTCACCTAGCAGTAAGTAGGTACAGTATCTGTTGTAAGTCGAAAGTTGTGAATTCGTATTCAGGGAGTTGGAGCTTCCAATAACTTGATGACATAAACCACTGACTCTTAGGCTTCTATGCCCTTGACTCTTCAGGCTTCTACACCCTTAACTCATGAGACATAAAGGCAAGCATGAACTTGGCATGCTTCCTTGTAGGGCGCTGTAAACGCTTCTGCGCTTCACCTTACACAAGGAAGTAGGGAGTGCCCAATAAATGAAAAAAAAAAAATGACGGAACTGTGAGTGGGTTTATTACCGCTAGTCTTTTATTACATCAGGGAGCTGCGACCCTGCCTTGCCAGCTGTACCTACCCTGTGGGTTGGTGCTAGAAAGGGCATCCAGCTGTAAAACTTTGCTTCAACATTTATGATGGCAAATGGGTCACCAGAGCTGTGCCCACTCCCTGATCTGTATTGCATTTTCTGAACTGGCACCTTGGGTTTGTGGTGGTGAACCTGAGGGGTAGATACAGTATCTCTGGTTTTACCTAACAGCTGCCATCAGGTAAATGTGGCTAAACTGTAAACCGTATATCAATCTGCATTTAATGATCTGCTCTATCTATTTATATATATCTAACGATCTTATCTATATATTTATGTATCTAACTATCCATATCTAATACAGTACAGGTGATTATATATAAACATTTAATCACAGTTATGTTATAAATCCGACTCGGTGACTCACGAACACTTGTTGTTATCTGTGACGTCATAAATCCGACTCGGTGACTCACGAACTCTTGTTGTTATCTGTGACGTCACGAGTAAAGGGAGGCCCGGCCCCTCGACTGTCCGCTGTAACAAGCACCCGGGACCTGGCTCCTAATTTGATGATATTTAGTTAATGATAAGACATACAGACATTTGGTTTATGCCGAAGATCACATAAAGAAGCTCCCAATAGTTGGCTTGGGTTTAATATGGTCGTCATGGTGGACCTGTCGTTGATGTTATAATGGTTTTACTGCGCCTCAACAACTGTGGGCTATTATTGGCTGAACAAAGTTAGTAATTATACCAGTCAATCAACAATATGAAAACGATATGTATAACTCTCTGTTTAACTCTTGTTCATCATTAAGTTGACTTGAATTGTGTATGGGTATAATAACTGGTCATGTTACTGTGAGGTAGTTATGTTACTGTGAGGTGATGGTGTAGTAGTGGTCATGTTGTTACTTGTTAATATTGGTGTTTCCATTACAACGTGAACCAGTGGAGGAGGAAGTGATGACTACCGCTGTGTGAGAATTAATCCTTTTGGTAATGCCTGAGAACAGCACAACCACCAGGAGTTGCTCGATTTTGTTAATTTTTTCGACAGAGGTTCTTATCATGGTATTACTTTCGTTTTGTTCCTGCAGTGGATTTTAGGATTTTAAGTTTAGGTTAGGTAAGGTTAAGTTGAAATTATGTTTTTCCGGTGGTTTTTGAATGGTTCTGACTTACTTCTAAATAGGTACATGACCTAAAGCGATAATTTTACCCTTATCATTATAATCTGTATTTTAAAAGAGATGACATTTACTAGAACCTAATAAAACCTGGCCTAACCAATCAAACAAACCTACCTACCTTACCTAACTTGGAGCCCTCGCCATATTAAACCAAAAGTACTTATTTTGATATCTAGTACAGTTGCGGAAATGTGTTCCTACGCCCCCTGTGGTAACCCGTGTTTCCAAACAGCACTGCCGCAGTAGTTGTATCACTATTTAAAAGTGAACTGGTATTGGTCGTGTAACAATGGATGTTATTGGTGGATAGGTTTGCTATAGGTCTTATAGGTTGGCCGTTTGGAGATACGGGTTACCACAGGGGGTGTAGGAACACATTTCTGCAACTGTACCAATGAAAGGAATTTTGCTGAAGTGTCATGGTGTAATTTTATGTTTTTAGTGGACATGAAAGTACGCTTGGATGGATCGAACAGATCAGTTATAAACAAACAACCAACGCGAGGTGACTTGGCAGAGTTTTCAAACGTACAGAGAACATAGAGACATAATTTTAGTGTCATATGATCAGTTTTTCACCATGTTTTACCCCCCAATTTCCCTCATTCTTCATGTCCTGTTCATGATAGGTGATTTATGATCATAGATATAAACTAAAAAAAAAAATAGAATAAATGTTGCTACTATAGTGTGAGTTCTACAGGATATTTAGGTTAAGTTAGCATATTTTAGGTTAGGTCAGGGTAGGTTAGATTAGGTCAGGTTAGGTTAGGTCAGGGTAGGTTAGGTTAGGTTTGGGTAGGTTAGGTTAGACTAAGGATATCTTTGTAGACCGCACATTATATTAGCACCAAAAGATTACTGTGATTTTAATTAAAGTAAAAAGTTGTCGCAGCTTTTAAAATTCTTACAATAATGATAAGAACATATATGGAAAAATGAATGAAATCGAACAACTCCAGAATGTCTGAAAGATTTCTCTGAGAAATCCTTCTTGGTAAGACATATGAGAGTTGATATGGGTGAGAAACAGTTTCAGTGTCCAGAAAGTCTTAAGGAGTTCATACAAAGATGTTAGCTTGTAAGACATATGAAAGGTCACATAGGAGAGAAGTCATATCAGTGTTCAGAATGTTTTAAAGACTTTTCAGAAAAATCTAATTTAGTAAGACATGAAAGTTCATACTAGACAGAAACCTTTGCAATGTTCATAGTGTAATAAGCTCTTTGTAAGTAAATCTCACGTGGTTGAACATATGAAAGTTCACATAGAAGAGAAGCCATTTCAGGGTCTAGAATGTAGAGCGTAATAAATTTTTTTCACTTAAATCTTATTTAGTTACACACATGATACTTCACACAGGAGATAAGCCATATCAGTGTCTAGAGTGTGATAAAGGTTCCCCATACAACTCTCATTCAATTGTTCACATGAGAGTCCATACTGGAGAAAACCATATCAGTGTTCATTGTGTTATAAAGGATTCAAAACAAAGTCCTCTGTAACACAATATTTGACAGTTCATACAGATAAACTACATCAGTGTTAGCATGTGCTTAAAGCTGTACCAGAATATTCATCAGTGTTACAAGTGTCATAAAAACTCCAAATGTAAATCTCATCATGCAGACTCTCCCATTATTCCAGCTCATTTTGGTCACTCGCTCCTGTAACAAATGTGTTCTGTTGTGGTGTTCCTCCTCCTACATGGCTCCAGGCTTCCATCTGGTTTACCTTCATAAATTAAGACGACCCGACACCACCGCAGAATAACATGACTGTCCCTATAAATCACTCATTACCATTGTTTCCAGTAACACACACACACACACACTATTTCTTTGTGGTGCTAGTCCGCACCCACCTGTACAGTCCCTCCCTCACCCACCTGTACAGTCCCTCCCTCACTCCTCCTTCCACTACCCTCCAGGGTCTTTCATCACTTCTGCCATCCACTTCTGAATTAAACATTTCTTAGTACCCTTTTCTTTCTCCACAGGACACCATAACACACCTCGACGACTCCTATGTCTCTCTGTCACTTCTTCCGTCTCTTTTGTTTTATTTCTGTTTCACATTCTTTGCATTCTGTTCATCCCACATATGACCCATCTCTCGTTTACACCCATTGTCTGAACCAATCAAACCATTTTCCCTCTGTAGCACTCTTTCTTTCGTCTCTCTATCTCTACACCATTCATGATAATATTGGAAGCCATGAATACATTGCACAAACTTGCTGTAATTCTGCATCATCAGGGCATAGCTCCTCTTTTCCTACTTTTTTCCTATGTTTCTCCCATGTATATAGACAATGCAGTTATACAGACAGTTCAACAGGTATATAAACAATGCAGGTAGAATTCAGCATGTATCCAATACTGTATATACAACATGGGTATACAGTGACCATAGTCTGTAACTTACTTAATTTTTCATGTCCAGGATATTTTTTAAAATTTCTCATTACTGTTAACATGTAAGGAAGCCAAACTATCTCATGATCATTGTATTGTGTTTTACTTGTACATTAATCTGCTTCAACATGTCTAACATCTTTAAATAGAGTGGTGATAAGGGACGTTGATGTCTACTATGTCTCCCTGACATGATAATCTAGGTACAGTTCTCAATATTCATTAAAAAAATGGAGGTAAATTGACACAATAAGACAGACAATAAAGTATTTTGTCAACTAAGACCATCTAGGGCAGAGTGTAGCTTGAGTGGTGAAAATGTAATGTGGCAATAGTTTATTCTTTTTTTTTTACACTTAATACGCCTCTCATTACTGAATAAATTATGGAAAGTAGATAGTTATTTGTTGTGATTCACAGGTAATAAAAGATATTGAAAAAATGGTTGCTGGGAAAGGTAGAAATTTAGGGAAGGTGTTATGATGTAGGGTGTAAAATGGCAAATCTCCTTCCTCCCCTTGTAAAACCCCAGAGGATAGTGAATAGTGGTGGAGGGTGAGGGAGGCAGTGTAGCTCCTGGTGAGGTTCCCAGGCTGGTGATAGAAGGCTGCAGGTACAGTGTATATGTGTGTGGCCAACCTGTTGGTGTTCACACGTTCCTGCACCTTCAGGTAAGATGTATAGTATACTGCCTTGTGCTCTCCTGCCATCACTCTCTTTGTTGTTGATGTACTGACACATACACTAACATCTATTGTGGTTTTATAGTGATGACACAAACACTCTCCAACACCGATACCAAACTAACAAAATAACAAACCATAAGTAATGATGCTAAACTAAGTTAATTTTAACTAACAAGGTGTTAACACATTTCATTTTTTTTCAAATTTGCTATATAATTACACTATTTATTCATTATAACTTTATTAAACTCCTTTCACATCCTAAGTTTGGTTAGAAATACTGTACATTGCCTAGTTGATGCAGGGGGATACAAGCACAACAAGTGATTTATTTCCCTGAGACAACAACAGCTACAGGTCCTCTCTTTCTTTCTCCCCCCCACCCAGAGTTCATGACTAATACCTGTATGTTTGTGTTATTGTGTGTTGGTTTCCCCAGTGGACGGTGTTTGAGGCGGCCGGGGAGCAGGCGGTTCAAGATGGTGGGTGGTGACTGGATGAGGGCATTGGTGATGGTGATGGTATGGGCTTGGGAGTGGTGGTCTGGCCTCGTTTTCCACACAACTCTCGCCTCCGATACCACTTCCTGGCTACTCTCCAATGATAACGGGTGTAAGTTGTGTCCCTCACCTCTCTGTTGACACTCACCGTGGATGTACGAGATGGGGCTACAAGTCAGGTGAACCTTGATCCTTAATAGACCCAAACTTAATTCTATTAGGACTGGGATTTGCTATAATTTAAGTTCTATAAGGACAAATAAAGATCATAACAAAGTAACAAAGAATGGATCAACCACCCGAATGGCTAGTAAGCTGATAAGTGGTGAAATGATAAATAAATAAGGACTGGTACCCATTTAACCAGGCATTCGTGTGTGTGTGTGTTTTGGAGGGGGTTAATGGTCAAGAACACATGTGACTTCAATAAAAATGTATTGTAAATCTGCCCATTGTACGAGGAATTAGTGTATTATCGTACAGGCTATTACAGATGCTCCTTACCCAGTGTGACCCTACCAAACATCACAGGTTTCCTGGTCCCTGGTTTCCTCCTGTACTCACACTAGATAGATCAACTGCCTGAACGTCTAGTGAGCTGATAAGTGGTGAAAATTATATACCTGTATATAATAACGTTGCTGTGATGTCAATGAAGATGATGATAATTCCATGTTAGTACTGCCGTAAAATTGCAAAGCTCTGTGTTGGCACCTCACCTTTGTGGGTAAGTGGCTCTTTTATCACTGGTGATAACTTATCACCCCCCCTCCCCCTCCCTCACCAGTGTGTGGTGACAAATATTGGTGGATACATGTTTGTGGAGTAGTGTAGTGGAGTCATTACATCAAATACATTAAATAAGAAAAGCTTAAAATTCTGTATGCGTGAAATACAACAGTGTGGCGTAGAAGAGTGCAGTGTATCCGGGATCCTAAACTCATTCCTGTGGGCGTAATGAACCTATTCCTCTTATCATATTTTGTACAATTCTCTGACCCAAGTGACGTTTTTGTTCGTTTTTGCTATAAAGGAAGTGTATGGCATGTTACTGAAGATGGGGTGTGTGTGTATGAATTGTCTACGGGTTGGCAAAGATAACTTGTAGCTTAGCCAGACTAACACGGGTGTGGGGGGTGTTGTGTTGACGGGGGAAGTACTGTACTGTACTGTATACAGGTTTCAATTCCAACCAACCAATCAACACACACACACACACACACACACACACACACACACACACACACACACACACACACACACACACACACACACACACACACTACCAGCACCACTACCATCAATTAGCACTATCTACCACTACTGTATTACTACCATCCATTGGCACCACATAACCAGGACTACTTCCATTACTATCTACCAATACCACTACAACCAACATTTACCAACACCACTACCAGCACTGCTACCACCACCATCTACCAATACCACCACCATCTACCACCACCACCACTAGCACCTACAATCACTACCACCTATCACCATTACTATTATCCACCGCCATCAATACAACCATTCACCAGCACCACTACTACTCACTCACACTACCACCAACCATCACCTACCAGCATTACCACCCACTCCTTGCACTTACCAATACCATTATCATCTACCACCACCACTCACCATAACCACTCACCACAACCACTCACCACCACCATCATAACCACTTACCACCACTACCAGCACCAATATCACCCACCAGCACCACCTACCAGCATCACCTTCCAGCACCAATATCACCCACCAGCACCACCTACCAGCTTCACCCACCAACACCACTATCACCCACCAGCACCACCTACCAGCATCACCTACCAGAACCACTAGCACTCACCAGCCTTATGGCACCTAATCCACTGAACCCAGAGAGGGAGGCAAGGAAGGAGGGGGCTTGGTGGCGTGTATACAGCCCTTCCCTGGTGTGTCTGGCACTGATGTGTGCTGCCTCGGGTTACCTCGCTTACGCCGCCTATGCCAGCACTCATCCACACCACTCCAAAATCATCATCATTCCCTCAGACTGGTCCCTGTCTTCTACCAATTTCTGTGAGTCAAGTTATTCTCATCATGAAGAGCTAACGTCTTCATGCCTATTGTAATTTCAGGAGTCATTTTTAATTGTTGCCTGATTATAAGCAATAACAATACTGTATTTTAAACAATTATGTAATTGTAATTAGGGATACAGAGGCTTATGACACAGCACTGGCCTTTTGTCCTGAAGGTGTCTGGTGTGTACCCCAGCACCCTGGTACATCCAGTTGTAAGTTGGGAAAGTGAAGCCAGGCAAGTACAGTACCAACCACACTGCTTCCTTGTGTTCCAAAAATAGGTTTATTTTCCAGTGTATTTTATTGTCATTGTCCCTAATGGGCTGTCAGGTCTTTGGGTTGTCCTCTACTTGTGTGAACTATAACGTGTGATGTGTGGAGACGGAAGTACTCCATGCTCTCCTCACCAGCGGACCTTTGAACACATGCCAAAATCTTTAATTGCTGGCCATCCATTCTAAAGCAGCACCACCTGCCATATGCACACTTCTAGGTAATGTACTGACCTCCACTTATTGGAAGTTGGACCTAATTACCTCTCACTCACTCATTATATGTGTGTGCGTGCGTGCGTGCGTGCGTGCGTGTTTACACACAGTACTGGTATCCCCCAATTTATGATGAGGTTAAGTTTCTGAAAAGCCCATTGCAAGTTGAAATACAGGTATCATAAATTGGAATCATTATAATATGGGGTTCAATGGGATACATTCCTAGTCAATCCGACACCCACACCCACTTGTATCATCAAAAATAAAATTCTGTGATGATAATAGACATAAAACACAACTAAACATCACTCACCACATCATAAGGAACAAGCCTGGTTGTCGTCACGTGTCCCCTTTGAGGCTAAAGGAACTCCTGAAGGTGGAGTGGAGACTTCACTCTGACCTCCACACAGATTCACAACGTCAAGCTCCACCTCCAGAAATACAGTTTTTCTGGGTGCCTTGGCCTTCCCAGACATTTTCAAAGTTACACTGCTCACTTCAGTCACAAAAACAGAGTGAAAGCACTTGTCACAAAAAGAGTGAATGATGATCATGTTCACAACAACAGAGCCAAAGCACTTTAGAGTCACAAAAAACATTGCAAAAATCACTTCACAATCACCAAAACAGAGTACACTGTGAATGTTAGTGATGTCTTCTCACTGTAAGGTAAAAAAACAGAACACGGATGATAGGTACAGGGGGTTCCTGACTTACGAATGCCCGCCGATACGAATGAGGTTAAACTTAAAATTTACAGTATTTTATTTACCTGATGACTTATTTTTTACTTTCATTTACAGTATTTTGTCATTCTATTTCTTCTTTTCTCTTAAATTAAGTGATTTTAAATGTATATACGGACTTAGGCTATGATATACAGTACTGTAGTGGGATTTTATACATTGTTCTGTAAGTACGGTATGCATATAGCATGTGTTTCGACTTATGTACATTTTTGACTTAAGAACGTCCTCAGGAACGGAACCTGTTCATAACCAAGGGACCCCCTGTAACAAGACCGATACTGACCTATAATCATTGAACTATATGATCACAGCCATGTGCATGGAACAAAGCTTGGAACTATAGTTCACTGGGTGGCCACGTGGCGGTGCGTGAGTAGACCACAGCTGACAAGTGCACCATATTCCGCGTGTCAGCAATTTTGGCAGGATGATCATCGTTCATGCAAATTTTTTTTTTATTGTAAATAAGAGGGTGGTCTTAATACATCACCATCGTTCAAGCGAAAAATCATAGATAGGGAGATCGTAAATCGGGGATATGTGTACACAATACTGTACTTTATTGTTCAGCATTCCATGTTTGTTGCAGTCCAAGTGAGGATTTTCTCTTGTTTGTTGTATACTGGCCACTTCCTGTTTATACTGTACAGTATTTCTCTATAGTGTACAAATGAAACTGAAATTTTGAGTGAAGGTTTGCATGAGAACCACCTGTATTGTAGACCCAGCATTACCCGTCTCATCTATTACAATATTAAGTTTACCCAACCACTTGTATTTGTTATCCTTGGTGGAGGTGTAGTAAATGTTTCATGTATTACAGCGGTGGTGTTGGGCGGGACGGTTCCAGGCGGGGTGTACACAGATCTCCTTAAGGCTAATGTACTGAGCCAGGGAGACTTCTACTATCGCTATAATGACATCGACTACCGCTGGGTCTCCCAGCAGAATTGGACCTACTCCACCGTCTTAACTGGTAACATTATAGCCTTATACAATACTTTAGTCTTATTTTATTAATTCCAAGCTTGTCACAGTCCATTCCCATATATTAAAAGGAGATTCAAATACTTTACTGTACATCCCTTTAGATATTATTAATTAATCATGTTTCATCTGTTCCCAAGTTAGTCATTCATCATGTAAAGTATTTATACACTTAACCCCTTGTGTTTGGGTTCATCTCTCAGCTGAATAAAATGTCTGGCATTAACCAAATAAAATGCACTACTGGAACTGCACTGAAGGGGTTAATGAGGTTGTACTTATTATATTTAGCCACAAAACCTGTAAAATAATAATAATAACAAGATAAATATCATTGGTTGTTGCAGTTAATGCCAACCTGTTGAGCCATGAACGAGTGGCCCTCATATTTGAAGGTGTGGACACTGTGTCTGAGGTGTTGGTCAACGGCGCACTGGTCGGCACCTCCAACAACATGTTTGTGAGATACTTGTACAATGTTAAAGATCACCTTCAGGTAACTACACTATGATCTTATTTACACTTTGTATTTACTCAACATTAACTGTTAAAGAATTTGTATTATTGTCTGATGTACTGTACAGGGTATCTCAAAATATGTTTACTTTATACTTTGAATTATTTTTAAATTAAAAAAGTATATAATCTTTAATAAACGAAATATGTAATGAATAATTCAGAGGAGGATAATACTTAAGTGTTCCTTGTTGAAGGTGTCTGAGAGCAATACACTGAAGGTGAAGTTTGAGTCGCCTGTGGAATATGCTGCACGTCAGTATGCGACCCAGGCGGAAAACTATGTGGTGCCACCCAAGTGTGTGGACCCCGCCTTTAAGGGTGTGTGTCATGCCAACCACATACGTAAGATGCAGGCATCCTTCAGCTGGGACTGGGGGCCAGCCTTCCCCAATGCTGGCATATGGTGGGTAGTACAGTACTGTCCCTCACCCTACTGCTATACCACCTAGTCTCCACACACTCCTTCACCCATACCACCCTACCACCACCCTGCATCCACGCTCCCTCACTTTACCATCACCCTGCACAACCATGACACTCTCTCTACTGTTCTTGAATATGATGGTGATTTTGGTTGATTTTCCACCCCTAGACACTTTTCTTGATCCAGAGATATTCAAATTATAGTATTACTAGTCTTAGCGGAAAGAAAACATTTCTTGTTTGTTGTGTCTTTCATTGCCTTGGCCTGTGATCTGTCCACTCTTCCAGGTTCTGTACTGTCTCTTATATTAACACTTAAGTAAAATACAATACAGTATTCACATAGGGTATCTGTTGTCTGTTTATCATCCTCCACAGCCAGGTTGTTTTTGCCCTTTCCAGAGTCAATAGCATATTTTTTTTTCGTTTTGCTTTTGGTATACCGGTAATTATCCATAACAAAACAGTTTGGGATGTTTTTTCAGTTTTTTTGGACCAGCTACTTCTCAAATACTTTTTTTGCAGATTTAATTTCTTGAGTGGTAACATTTAGGAGTCATGTAGGCCACACAGGCAACATATGGTAATATCTTAAGCTTTGATAGTTTTCCTACATGGCAAAGGGACTTCCTTTCTCTTCCTTGCCTTCCTGGTAATAATGTAGACTTTTCTTTGCATTTATCATTTCCACCACTACCTTAACCCCTCGACTATGGAGATGCCACTTATAAATTTTCTTTAACTAACTGCAGATAATTTTATTCAGTATAGAGAGGATCCTGTACACAAGTGGTGAAAGATGTCCTCCAGTTTTTGCCATGGCTCTTCTGTATATGATTCTTCTTATGTGATGTCCTCCCATTTTAGCCTAAGTAATTTTTCCCCCATGCAAGAAGTCATGATACTCTTCCTCTAATACTGTACATCAGTTTTTGAGGGTTTTATTCCACCTTAGTCTGTATACATTTATTGTTAAGTTGTTGATCTAACTCCATCTTGTGTGTAGTGGAAGACAACAATAATGAAATGAAGTTTATTTTCCGTATGACAGGAAGGACTGGCGTTTGGTTGGGTGGGATTCTCTGCTGGTGAGTGACATCTTCTTCTCAGCTGTGCCCATGACCCAGTTGCCTCAAGTGCCAGATCATGACCTCAAGCCAAGCTGGTCTGTCACTGTAAAGGTGGGTTATTATGGTTCAGTGTTTTGGTGATAGTCTCTGTTAGTGTCAGGCATTGACAGTTTTGACCCTAATTCACCACAAGTTGCTAAGTACAGTAGATGTATGGTTGTATAGGAGTTATCTTGTGGTGCAGATTATCACAGGAAGATTACCTCCTATTTCAGTGATATTATTTAGTTATTTTTGTTTCCCAGTCATATTAAGGTCAAGTAGTACAAAACAGGTACTCAAAGGTGTTAGTGATACCCCAGTAACATAAGTGCCTCTCATCATTGTGGTCCTGGGTTCAAATCCCCAGCACAGGACTATGAGAAGGGTGTTATCCAGTGTGACACTACCAAACACTGTAAGTTTTCTCCAGATATTACATTTTCCTCCTGTATCAACACTGGACAATAAAGAACATAAAAAAGTACAGTAACAATGAACAGTCCAATCACCTGAACAGCTGATGAATGATAAAATGGTGAATAATATACAATAACCTAATTTTCTATTCTTTTAATAAGGTTTCCAGTGACTCACATTCATTGATTACTGGCCAGAGTAAACTTTGATCATAATTTGTGTATGTATTCCATCATGATTGTGAAGCCAGCCATGTTTGTCCCAGGTGTGGTGTGATGCTGCTGTAAAGACTGGTGATGCAGGAGGAAGCATGACCCTCTCCCTGGGCAACATATACAGCAGGAAGCACATTGTTTCTTACACAGTGGAAGATTATAAGGCCTTACTCACCTTTAACTTTACACTTGAGGAGGTAAGTAACTAAAGTTCATTAGTCAAACTGTATAGCTTTAATATACTGTATCTGATAAAATATATAATATGTACTATGTACTTTATAATATTCTATGAATAATGATGACTCTTTTATCTTTAAGCAAATTTGAGCTTTATAAATCAAGGTTTAACACACACACTGGTATGTGTTTAGATACTCTCAAGAGGCTGTACAGTAGGTGTCCAGTCCAGTACTGACCAACCAGTGGATAACAGTCTGATCAGTGGTGAAGAGGATAAAAATAAAGTATAAGTGCTCAATGGAGAACTAACTGACCATCACACCTGGTACAATAGTAATAGGATAAAATGAAGTTAAGACAAACAAAAAATATTCTCATCACTGACATGAGATTACACAGGTGGAGGAGGAACTCAGCTTCCGGGGAGGAAAAAATACTACTGTACAGGGTTTATGTGAGAGAATGATCAGCTCATGTTTGGCTTGGCAGGGTCAGGTAGAGATGTGGTGGCCCAATGGCTATGGTGCTCAGCCACTATATCAGCTGACTGTCCTCTGGGCCAATAAAATTGAATCTGAGACTTCCAGCAAGAGTGTTCGGGTTGGCTTCAGAACTGTTGAGCTAAATCAGGACTTTGTTGATCCTGACCATGAAGAAAAAGGTAAAAGTTTAATGTTTTTTTTGTTGTATTATGTTGTAGGTGTTTCAACTGGTAAGGATATTAACCACTACAGTATTCACTAAGAATATTAACCACTATTCTCTAAGGATGTTAACCAATATTCACTAAGGATATTAACCAATATTCACTAAGGATATTAACCACTCTTCTCAAGCTCATAGTTTACTACAACAGATATTTATTAAACGATCAGAATAAGAATAAAATACTTGTTATCAAATAGCCCTTTTCTCTGTAGTTCTGTCTATAAGATATTTGACCTAAACTGTGATGAAACTCAGGAATAATCCCTACAGCCTAGTTGAGGATGTACCAGTAACTTAGCCTTTTGTGTACAGGGTCCCTTTTGAATTGAATAAAATTGTTTGGTATATAACATATTAAGAATAATATTCCCATATTGAAGGAGTTAATAAAATTATTTAAAACTGATACAAGGGAAGAGACCACGCAAATATTGTAGTCTGGAATAAGTGTCATAAAACCTCTCCAATATTTTATGATGGCATGTGAGGAAGTGATCATATTTGTCACAAGTAATCAGATCATCTATCTGCCTGTAGTTTGGACATAACCATACAGAGAAACAAATGCTGACTGTCTTTGGGATGCCCTCACACAAAGCAAGGCTGCCATTGTTACAATCTTCCGTCCACCAGACACTTAGTATTCACTTTGGCAAGGATTTGTCAAGAGGGAGTACTCACTTTGCAAAGGGGTTTATCAAGAAGGGATGGGGGTGTTGGGGATACAGTGGTGACATGGTTATCTCTCATCTTGTGGCCTGGGTTCACTGCTTGGCCCAGTACAGATATGAGAAGGATGTTATCCAGTGTGACACTACCAAGCATGGCAGGTTTTCTCTGGGTATTACAGTTTCTTCCTGTATTGACACTGGACAATAAAGTTCATAACAGTAACAACCACCTTAATGGCCAGTAAGCTGATAAGTGGTGAAAATATAAACAAATAAGTATATAAATAAACAAATAAATAAATGTGGATTAAAAATTTTCACCCTTTTCCAAATAAATTTAGTAGGTGTGCCTATAATATGCTCAGTAAACTGTCGCACTAGCAAACCTTCATAAGTATAAAATTCACTCGCTATGTCATGCCATTAACTGCCCAGGAAAGTAAATGCTGTCCACATGATCTTTTTGGCTTTACCTTTAGGCCGGCACTACCGTGTGCGTGTGAACAATGTGACCATGTTCATGAAGGGAAGTAACTGGATACCAGCTCACGTGCTACCGGAAAAGGTGACGCCAGAATATACCCGCCACCTCCTAAAAACTGCCGCAGACACGTACCAGAACTGCATACGTGTGTGGGGCGGCGGCATCTATGAATCTGACGTATTTTATGAGGTAAAGTAATTTGTCTTGAAACTCCAACCATGGTATCATGTAGATTGGATAAAAAGAGGTATATCATTGTTGCAGTCTCTGTGTTTTATTAATTTTGAATCCATTTATCACTAATAACTTTTTAATTAGTAAATATAGATGAGATAAATAAATTTCCTGTCATTGGAGTATTTACATTTGTGTGGTCATGTAGTGTACTGCTGTCATGATAGTGTTTCTGGCCAGTTATCTATGTTCATAAATACTAACTTCTTAAGAGTCCCTTATGCTCTATACACCAGTTGTATAGATGAAGTATTTATTTATCTCTTGCTTACACACTAACACACGACGTGACTGATCGCCCAAGCGGCTAACAAGCCGATCAGTGGCGAAGAGGATAAAAGTAAAAAAAGTACAAATACCAGTATCTGAAATTACAAAAACATAAACAAACTGTACTACATCAATCTTTATTCATTAATGCTGGAAGGTGCCTGAGTTTGATTGTTGAGTAGTGAGGTACTGTATAGTTTGTATTTTGAGGTTTGCTTGCATTTGGACTTATGGGATATATACAGGTACAGTATAGTGTGTGTGTATGTGTGTATGTCATAGCATGATAATTTGCACACAACTGCAGGAAAGGAAGGGGTTGATAATTATACAGTAAATGATGGATGAAAGGCAACATACCCTCGAGGCCGACAGTGTAGGGTGGTGAGACATCATAACACCTCAAGATGTGAAAGACTCAAGGTATACAATTTTAAACTGATTATTGTTAAGTTAACCTTACATATTTGCTAGTTCCCAAGTTACAAACTTACAGATATGATATGACAGTCATTAGATTTTGCTCGCTTAATATTAATTATGTAAAATGTGATAAAATGTGGATACATTACAACATAACATTATTAACAGGTCTGACATGTAAAAACAATGCTACAATCCATATGTATTTCCAAACAATGACCCAACCATAATGTGGAAATGTACGTGGTAATGTTTCTCTATACAGTACTGTACATATACGATACGGGAATATAGTAACTCAATATCTTTTTCTACAGCATTAGTCTGATTATTTGTATTATAATTTAAGCTTGCTCTCACATTCATGATTTGCAAATAAAGTTGCCAGGTGTGAATACCTCCAACTGTTGGAACACTCCTGGCAACTACAATAGGGGCTGTGTTGTTCAACTTGAGCTGCAAGAAGCACTGTGCCATGTTTGGGTTGAAAATCAAAACTGAGCCTTAGAACTTCCAGGGTTTGCTCCAATGGTTCATTCTGACTGCCGAGGACACTGACTTTTTGAGGTGACTGTACTTGTACAGTAAATGGTAAACGAGTATGGTACTATAACTTGTCTAGTGGCAGGTGATGGTTCCTTTATTGGGATATAGAAACCTGCCTCCTTCCTTACCTATCTGATGACTAATGGAACAACTTGTCCTGTCTACCAGCAAACTGAGTGACAAATATTATGATACCAAGATCTGTACAACTGTTGTCAGATGTTTCACTAAGGACCTCCTGTACACTAAAGGATGAATGAGTAGGGTACTGACTTTCCCTTTGATTTATTTAAAATTCTTATAAGGTCATCCTTCCTGTAATGTTTTTTCGGGATGTTACTGTTTCCACAATGATCCGTTGATGCTGTTTTATCCCTCTGAAGGAGAAGTTAAAACTTGTGTATAGTTTGTCACAATGAAACTTCTTTTCTTGACTCTTTGACCTTCAGGTATAAAGTCTTCACCACTTTAACTTGTTCTCTTCACCACTGATTGGTCTGTTAGCCACTTGAGCAGTCTGTCATATCTCCATTAAACACTGTTGTCTTTTATCTCTACAAATACTGTACAGTGCTCATGTTAGGCTGGAAATATTTTAATGAATACAACATTCTCTGCCTGGCATTAAATTTGAAAACCAATGTTCACTAACAACTTCCTTCCCTTCTCGGTATCAACACTTGTTAACCACAATATGAGAACTAACACTGTATCTTCTCATGACTCAAGAAGAAATATTTCATTTTCATTAGAAAGATGAAAAAGTAAGAAAATGGTCCATTGTTGTTCTACACCAATCCATAAGACGCCTCTCTGAATATCTATGGAAATATCACTGTGTACCAATTGACAATTATACAGCAAGTGTCTCTCTAAATGGCTTGGGTATTACTCTTCACTTCTGGTATCCCACATTAGCCATAGAGGACTGACTGTGTGTGTGTGTGTGTGTGAAGTCCCAGTTCATGGATGGTGAGGGATGAAGATTTATCCAGACCCTCCCTTGATCTTCACACTCTCCCACCTCCCCTCATCTTTAACCCCATGTAGTGACTGGAAATCTCTAGGTCAGTAATGACAACATCAACTCATTAATAATCTCTTTTTCTCTTATATCTCTTCATGTCTACTTCATAACTGCCATATTTTGATATTTCTTTTGGTATTCTTTCTAGGCTGCTGATGAGTTGGGTATTCTCATCTGGCAAGATTCTATGTTTGCATGCAGTATGTATCCCGTGAATCAAGATTTCCTGGACACAGTGACACAGGAGGTGGAGACACAGGTGCGTCGTCTGCAGCACCATCCTAGCATCCTCCTCTGGGCCGGTAACAATGAGAATGAGGCAGCACTTCGAGACAACTGGTAAATAGTGAGATGTGTGTTTTGGTTGGTATATTAGGGACACACAATCATGTCTTGGGTATAATCCCTATCCTGGATCAGATGTAAGAAGGGTGTTATCCAGTGTGACACTACTAAACATGGCTGGTTTTCTCTGGGTATTATAGTTTCCTCGTGTACTAACACTGGACAGCTCAAGGTTGAAGAAGTCACAAGTTCAGAAAATTTTCATGGGAAACGTTATTGGAGTGAGAGTTGTACAGTATGGTGGGTGACCTATGAAACATATGAGAGACCCTGTACAGTATGCTGGGTGACCTATGAGACACCAATAAAAAGGACAATGAGATATATTTGGCCAATTTGTGTGACTTAATTGTTTCTTGTACTCCAGGTATGGCACTTCCTCCAGCTTTGAACAATACCACGCGGATTATATTCTGCTGTATGTTGACACCGTGCGGATCTTAACCCAGGAGTTAGATGGTACTCGACCATTTGTCGTTAGCTCCCCCAGCAATGGCAAAGAATCTGAGGAAGAGGATTATATTGCTCAAAACCCATACAGCACCTTGTATGGAGATGGTGGGTGTACCATTAAATTAACACAGTTTAAGAAACCTTTCACCTGGGGCAAAAACAAACTCTTAACTTGGCCAGCAAGACTAACATGAGCTGAACCTTACACATTAATGAAGTTACTTTAATGTTGGCAGAGGTAATAACACTATTGACTCAACAATCAACACATTAATGAAGGTAGTACTTTAATGTTCAACATTCAATACAGTAATGAAGGTACAGTACTTTAATGTTGGCAGGGGTAATAACACCAACGTGACTCCACATTTAATATATTAATTAAAGGGACAATCCCCCCAAAAAGTATTGCAATTTTTTCTGTCTTTACAATTTGAGACGCTGGATGAAATGTTTTGATATCTACTCCAGTGCATCATTATGTGTTGGTATGTCTGCTTGACAGTACAGTACATGTATTCAAATATACGAAAAAATACTGTATGTACTGTATTTACAAAATGCTTGCAGGAATAAAACTCAAATTAATGGTAATTTTGACATTCTGTCAGTGGTTGACCATACCAACCATTCTGAAACTAGTAGACTAACACTGCTCACAAAACCATGACCACATCGACCCCATGGATAGCGACACTTTTTGGGGGGACTGTACTTTATGTTGGCAGTAGTAGTAACAAACAGCATATCAGTTAACCCAAGTACAGAATTCAAGACAGTCTTTTGTAGATGGTATTCTCTTCAAACATTCAGTCTACTGACAGTCAAATCAACCCTTTTATTCTGTCCAGGTGACTGTGCATTAGACTGAATTTTACACTAAAAAGGTATCTGTTTCCTTACAGTTCATTACTACAATTACTTAAATGATGCCTGGAATGGGGCAGGAATACCACGTACTCGATTCGCCTCCGAGTACGGCTTCCAGTCTTGGCCATCGTTCAAGTAAGATGGAGATATATTTTTATACGTGTATGCTGTACTAACTATGAATCATTAAGATACAAGAGGTCCCTTACTTTACCTGTTCTTTGGTATAATTTGTATGTTCCCTCATTCTCTACCCTTTTGTCTGTTACACCTTGGAGCCTATGTCCTATACTAACTATTTTCAGTGACCTGGTTTACCTCAGGGACTAACCTAATCTGATCTGACCTAACCTAAGCTTACCTAACCACAGCTCTTCTCTTTACTCTTCAGTTACCTGGTTCATCACAAGGACTTTACCCTTATTCACTTTATGGTAATATTTAAGACCAGTTCTTTGCCTTAACTACATACTGTACCACATCTCAGCATAGGACATAAATGCTTTCTTACCTCATGAAATAGACGTGAAAACATAATATTTTAAATCTTTAATTTTTTAGTGTTCCATAATTTTTACTGTTACTGTAGGTATGTGATGTTTTGCCATGTTCCACTACATTTAATGACTGGACAAATTTTAATTATTTTTTCTACAAATTTTATATCCCCTCTGTCTCGTTATATCCACTAATTTCTTGTCCAGTATTTGGGTGTTACAGGATTAAAGAATTGGCCTATAAAAGGTCTCTCACTTGCCAGGTAGAGCCAAGTCAGCCTTCATATTAGAGTACTGTAGCTGTTGTTGACAAATTATCAACAACTTCTCAACACTCTTATCCACATAGTTTTTTTATGTTGGTTTTTTGGTTTATGGAAAGTTTTATCTTGCTGACTGTTGAATACCTTCATGTAGGACCCTGAAGGAAGTGACAATAGAGGAAGATTGGAATCGTGCGTCTGCCATGATGTACCACCGTCAACACCACCCTGGAGGTCAAGAGGAACTGGCGCTGCAGATTGGTCTTCATATGCACATGCCACCCCTGGATGGAACTCTCAAGACCTTCCAAGATTATCTTTACCTTGGTCAGGTGGGAACACACTTATGAATAAACCAGGCTTACAGGTGTTCCTTTACTTTAGAAAATTCGATTTACAAACTGTCAGAGATACAAACATCATCATTGAGGGGGGTTACCTTCCAGAGCTGGTGTTTAATGTGGATGAGACTGGATTATTTTGAAGTGAGCCAGGTTTAAGGCTGTATTGTAGGGTATAGCTGTACTAACCATCCATTATCTTTTCACTTTTTACAATATGTTTGGTATCTACAAGAGTAAAGTTGGACTTACAAACAAGCCTCTGGAACGTAACTCGTTCATGAGTAGAGGAGCACCTATATTTGCAGATACATAATACTGTACACTACAATATTACTTATTTAGTGATGATAAATACACTACAATAGTATATATTAAGTGATGATAAATACACGGCTGTACTGTACTAATTTACTCAGTGTTGAAGACGGGCATTGTGGTAAACAGCTAACCCTATCAACTGTTTGGGCCAAACAGTTTGGCCTTTGTAAACTAAAGTTTCATGGAAGGATTACTTTTTACCTATCAGGATACAGGTTGACAATCCCTTATACGAAATCCTTGGGGCCAGATGCATTTCAGAATTTTTCTGATTTCAGAATGGTTATTTATTTATTTATTTATTTATTTATTTTTTCTCCAGGGATCAGCCCACTTGGGCACAGGTCACTGACCCACATTGGGGCCTGGGGGGCTGTTTTTGGAATTTGGGATAAAGGGATTAACTAATTAAGTATTTACAGAATAACTCATTAACACCCAAATCGCACTTTGGAAACTCATAGTTGGCAAGTAATTAGCATTGAAAAATGTAATTAAATTCTCCAAGGGTCATTACAGCCACTAATTACCCCGCAATCGAATCGTGGATTATATATTTGAAATCAGCATGCACTGGAGTACCTACAATGTGATTTTCAACAAAATCTAATTTTTGGGCCAAAACTGTCAAAAAGGTAAGCCTTACCCCTTGGTAATTTTTCGCCCAAAATATACTTTTTTCACAATTGAAATTTAAGGGTTGTAACTAATTAAGTACTTACAGAATAACGCTTTAACACCAAAAGCGCACTTTGGAAACCCATAGTTGGCAAGTAATTAGCATTGAAAAATTTAATTAAAATTTCCAAGGGTCATTACAGCCACTAATTACCTCGCAATCGAATTGTGGACCATATATTAGAAATTAGCATGCACTGGAGTACTTACACAGGTTGACAATCCCTTATACGAAATCCTTGGGGGCCAGATGCATTTTGGATTTCGGAATTTTTTTGATTTCAGAATGGTTACCGGGTCTGTTAGGGTTTTTTTTTTCTTTCCAGGGATCAGCCCACCTGGGCACAGGTCACTGACCCACATTGGGGCCTGGGGGGGGCGAAAATATAGTAATAATTATAATAAGAGTAATAATAATAATGAATCATAGGTCTAAGTTGTTTCTCACTGTTGATCTTTTTTTCATTCTTGTATTTCCTTATTATTATTATCACTATTATTATTTTATTGTTACAGAATTATTGTTATTATTATTATTATTATTTTATTTTTGTGCATTTTTTATTAAAATTTTTATTTACTATGAATAATTATTATAATTATTATTAAATTTTCGCCCCCTAGGCCCTGATATGGGTCAGTGACCTGTGCCCGGGTGGGCTGATCCCTGTTAAAAAAATGAAAAAAAAAAAATGTTTTGTTCCACAAAAAAAACTTTCGGTTTTCAGAGGTTTTCGGAATTTCATATAAGGGGTTGTCAACCTGTATATACTTTGTAAAGACAGACCTTTGAATGTATGTTCACAGAGCTTCTAACTTACGTTACTTGCTTTAGTACTTTAAATGAAGATGTGTAGTACATGTATGCCTCCATAACCAAGCTACTTATGATCATCACCATTATAGATCCATCAAGCTATGGCAATCAAGACACAGACTGAGTTTTATCGTCGAGGAATGAGTGAGCTGAATGATAATGGAGAAGGCTACACCAGTGGGGCCCTTTATTGGCAACTTAATGATATCTGGCAAGGTGCATCCTGGGCTTCGATTGGTGAGTGACTTAGGCAATCTTCAGTAAATATATGAAGTTGATATATGTCTCACTTGACATACTACAGTTAAGTAAAAATTATGGGTATTTTTTCTTTATTTCGTCAAGCGCTTTCATACTATGGTACTGGGTGGCTGGAGGCAAATGCAAGAATCTTATGTATCTTCTCTCTCTCTATTAGTCTTACCCTCAGGTGTGTTGTGTTGTAGTGTAGTGTCTCCCACAACTTACCCAGCAGCAACACATCCATCCTCCAAGACACTTTAAAATTCTCGGAATCGCCTGAAATTTATTTAATGAGTCTGTCACAGGACCACTTTTGAGCCCACAGAATGACCAGAAATTGTCGAGAAGATATTTTTTCCAGGGCGCTATTCATGACCAAGATATTGTCAAATAGTTATTCAAATGATACCTTCCTCCATAAAATATGGCTGGGAAATCACATGAAAACCTCAAATATAGAAAAAATAAATAAATAAAGGCCATTTTGGTGCATATAAGTGAAAAGTAAGAGTTTATTGTAGATTCTTCTTTGTGCTGTATCCACATCATGTCTCTACTGCACTACATTTCAAAATCACTTATTTTTTTTCCAAGCTAGGCCTATATAGTGTATTATGACATGCTTTTGTGTGGTATATGTGACTGTATTATGAGTAGCAATTTCACCAACGTCTCATAAATTAAAAAAATATTTCAATACTATAAATATTTCACTACACATTACTTTATCACTTCATAAGAATAAATATCCAGGTAGTAAATGATAAATATTTTGGGATAGCGGCAATAAGGCCACTGTGGCCATCTTTAAATCTTGCCTGGGACCCACACACCCATTGCTTAGGAAGCCAGATGCACACTGGCAACTGTGGTGCAATAACACCTGGCTTACTGCACCTAGATGGGTTGCCATCTAGTCTTAAGACTTGGTCCTGTGCAGGAGAGTGGCGTGAAAAAATGGCGTTAAATTTTAAAGTAATTTGACCAGAAACTTTTAGAGAAATGAAACAAATGCCAAACATGGCATATGTGATTGTGAGGCAAAAGTTTCATTTGCTTTAAATCAAAATGCCACTTATGCTTCTGTGATCCTGACAGTGCTCATTAATGCCTTTTTTGTCTTATCATCCACACACACACACACACATGCTATTATTGCCTGGATGACCAACCTATCCCTCTACAGTCTAGTGCCTCTCTCTCTCTCTTTAATGTCCTTGTTGGTCTTTCTCTGTTTCAGTGTGTATTCATACAGGGTGTCTCAAAATGTATGCACACTTACAGATTTTCATATTGCTTTTATTACAACAGCAATATTGTCCTCACTTGTAGGAGACCTCAACAAGGGAGAATGTTGCTGTTGTAATATAATAAATCATGCAATCTCAACCAAAATATGTCAGGCAATGTGTGTTCATGTTTCTGAGACATTCTGTAATGGTAGAGTGTGATCCTAAGTAACTAAAATACTATCTTTAGCTTTTTTTTTACAGAATATGGAGGACGATGGAAGATGCTGCATTACTACTCCAAGAAGTTCTTCTCCCCTGTCATTGTCTCTCTCTATCACGAAAATGATGATGTGAATTTAACATTACTTTGTTTAACTAAATTATACTAAACATTTCAAGATATGTTTATTAAGTTTGGAACACAGTTTAACATTACACTGCTTGACTATATTATATTAAAGTTATCAAAATGCATTTACCATATTTGGTACAGAGTTTATCATCATATTTCTCTCACTATTTAATTACTTAATTCAACTTGTTTTTCCAGTTGAAGGTTTATGCTGTGAGTGATCTGGTGGATGACGTATTAGACCTCACGCTTGTTGTTGACCTTCATCGATATGATCAAACAACACAAGTCAAATCTTACAAAAAAAATCTAACCATGGTAAGTTATGACATTACATCATTTACTGACATCCTGTACAGCCTTATGTCAGACACTTCTAAGTCAGTAATTTTTTATGAAATAGTTTAGGGATGTAAATACAGTACTGTAAAAATATTGTGTATTTTCGAGTTTTTTTTAATTATTTCCACCAGTTATCAGCTTACTAGCCTCTCAGGTGATTGGTCTTAACTTTTTTATGACCATCATTGGCCAGTGTTAATGCAGAAGGAAACCTGTCATGCTTGGTAGTGTTGACATCCTTCTCACATCTAACTCAGGCCAATCAGATTAAACCCAAGACACAGTAGTAAGAGTGATCAAAGTGAGACACATCCTCACAAGAACAAACCCATCTACTCATCCAGTCTAATGTTAACTGCGATTATTCCTTATTTGTATATTGAGGAAAACTCATCAATTTCCATATTTATGATAAGTTTTTTATTTTGTTTGCTAATTTCTACTACAAACAGAAAGCAGCAGAAGCAAAGTTCGTGGCAACCTTGAATATGTGGAAAGATTTGGACATGAATTCCCTATGTCAACAAGGCCTATATGACGAGGAGGACGTCTGCTTTGTTGTGTCCCGTCTGATTGCTGCCAATGGCTCTCTTGTTGCACCTGAGAACTTCCTCCTCTTTGGGAAGCCTAAGGATGCATATTTACCTCATGCTACTGTAACAGTGAGTTTAACTTCACACTACAATTAATCCCTTGTGTATGGGGTCCCCCTCTGCTTAATAAAATTACCTGGCACTAGTCAAACAAAATATTAAGAGTGGTATCGCTGTAGTGAAGGGGTTAAGAGAGCACCTCAGCTAGTTGGCTTGATACTGGATACTTGTGTGTAGAGACATGTACAGACTCTCTCTCTCTCTTGTAACACAACCATAGACCACTTACTGTTATGCTCTGTCATATTCTTAATTTTGTTGCAAGTCAAGATTTTATTAGATTAATCACACAAGAAAGCTACAGCCATCACCAAGATGTTTTTTTTGTAATTTACTTTTACATGGAAGTCTGTGTGCTATATGAACTGAGATATTTACTTATTAGTATAATTTGTCATAATTGTGTTGTTGTTCCATGGGGCTTTTTTATTAAGCCAGTGAACTAACTTCTTACAATACAGGTGAACCAGCATTAAAAGCAAATATAGACACCCACTTCTGCTCACTGTCATTCTCTCACTCCTTCAGCTAAACAGTTGTGTTCTACTGTGGTACTCTCCTTCCACAACATGTTCCTAAATATCCATCTGGTTTACCCTTCATTTCACATGACTCGGCAGCACCATAAGCAGCACATCTATCTCTGACAACTTACCAAAAATACTTCCTGGATATCCATTGCCCTTGCATGTAATGTCACCTCATCCTTCATCTCCCTCATTCTATCAACAAACCTCCTGAATTTTGGCTCCTTTGAAATCATATATTGGCTCAGATACTAATGCACTCATCTCCAAAGGTCATATACATTCACTCTTGTTGCACATACATACCCCACTTCGAATCCACAAAATATACTTTTTTTCTTCCTTGGGACTTACAAAAAATACATATCCATATTAAAAAATACTCTAAATCACCAAATAGTTGCCTCTGGAGTTCCTCATATCATACATACATACACACAAATTCATCCTTGTATCCACACAAACACAAAACTTAGTGATCCACAAAAATAAATTAATAATGCAAGATTAAAAGTGAGAAATATTTTCCAACTCGCAGATTTCCACCATCTCCGGGCCCATTGTAACACCTCAGAGCAACTGGACATTCACAGTGAAGGTAAGAAGCGAGGCGGTGGCGTTATTTGTGTGGCTGGAGGTGGATGAACCTGGTGTTTTCTCTGACAACGGTTTCGTGATGATTGATGAGGAGTCAGTCATCATGTTCTACTCTGCTGAAGATACCACCGTGGACGCCCTTCATAGCTCCATCACTGTCAAGTCTCTCACAGACACTTACTCTGTGGAAACTATAGCCAAGGCCGCAACCGAGAATCTGATGTTATGTGCACTCCATCCCAACGACATTAGAAACTTGTTTGTGTGAATAAGACATTTATTTACAGTATAAAAGTATAGAAAATTACTTCTGTTTTTTAATTATCCTGGAAACTTGAAGGATGATCTGAGTAGGTGTGCGTGATCCATGTACAGTACTTGTCAACAGTGCGTAACAGAGACGTGACCGATTGCCCAAGTGGCTAACGAGTCGATCAGTGGCGAAGAGGATAAAATTAAAAGATATACGGTAATACCCCGCTTTATGCGTTGTTTTTTTTACAAGTTTCTACATTTACGCGGTACCCCGCCAGAACCGGAATGTTCACTTTACTCGGTGCATCTACTCATATACGCGGGAAGCGGTGCGGGCAGGGTGCGCACAAGGTCGCCCAGTCATCAAAACATTACCGAGTTCTTCACCCGCCACCCACCACAGCCGGCCCAAATCAGTGACAGTGAGGATATGGACTTATATGGACTTTGAGGGGTTTGACAAAGAGGCCCTGCAAGCCTCTGTGGTGGATAGTGATGCAATTGATACAAGTGATACAGGTGAGTGCCAATAATCTGCCCTCTGCCTCGGAACCAACCCCCCATCCCCGTGTGCCCAGCCATCTTTTCTACGTACCTAATGATGTCATGAAGTGTAGGTGTCTGAAAAAGTGGAGTTTGGGGGTCGGCCCAGTCTCTATTTAAATTAATCCCATATGTTCTGTTGTTCACTTTACGTATTTCCCGCTTTACGAGGGCCTCCGTGGGTGCAATTGACCGCGTAAAGCGGGGTATTACTGTATACTATACACTATACTGTACTATATACTGTACTATATAATATACTATATTATATATTATACACTATACAGTACTATATACTATACTATACTATATAATATACTATACAGTATACTGTACTATATACTATACTAAACTGTATAGTATAGTTTAGTATAGTATATAGTATATACAGGTAGTACAGTATAGTATATTGTGTATAGTATAGTATAAAGAATAGTATATTATATAGTATAGTTTAAAAATAGTATAGTACAGTATAATATGTATAAAGTATAGTATAGCATATAGTATAGTACAGTATAATAGTATAAGTATAGTATAGCATATAGTATAGTATATAGCATAAAATTAAGTACAGTATAATATGTATAAAGCATAGTATAGTATAGTATAATATATAGCATAAAATAAAAGTACAGTATATATATAGTATGGTGGGCATATAGAACAGATAAAGACAGAGATAGGTAGATTATAGATTGACTGATAGATGACACAGAAAGAGATAAAAATAGATACTGACATACAGATAACCATATGGATAGATGTACATATAAATTGACATACTGACAAATGCTTGTATAGTATAATAATAAATATATATATATATATATATATATATATATATATATATATATATATATATATATATATATATATATATATATATATATATATATATATATATATATATATACAACATTTTCGACGGGTTGGGACCAAATCCAGGTGTAAGTCCGACATAGATAAAAAATAAATAAATAAAAAATAAAATTAATAAAAATCTACAATGAAATACAGTACAGTAAAAGTAATGAATAATGATGAATGGATACAGTACAGTGAAAGTAATAAATAATAAGGAATGGATACAGTGTGACTGAGCACTTAACCTTTAATGTAGTCAGCTGAATGCACATGGGGCCCCCATAATTTTCTAATTATACATGGAGACTACATTAACTGGAAACGTTTCGGTATAGAAAATGCGTGTGTCATTTAAAAAAATTTATTTTTTATTTTTTATCTATATCTGAGGCGGTCGTAAGTCCCGACGGTCGTAAGTCCACGTAGTCGTAAGTCGGGGTCTAGGGTATATATATATATATATATATATATATATATATATATATATATATATATATATATATATATATATATATATATATATATATATATATATATATATATAAAAACAAATACTTAGACAGGTATTGATAGATAGATACTGGTACATAATGGATAGATATAGATTCAGTATACAGCCACTCCTCGACTTACGACGGCGTTAGGGACCCAAATCCAGGTCGTAAGTCGAAAATGCAAAAATAATTCATAGAAAATAAAAAATGGGTGTCTCTTTCTTCTCAGCACCACAAAACTCTCACTTTTAAGCTTGCCAGCCATTTTAAAGGGGATTACAAACAAAAAATTTTCAGTACATAGCGCAATCACTAATGCCGGGACTCGAAAATACATAATTTGAAAAATTTTTGGTACGACTGGGGCGGTCGTATGTCCGGGTGGTCGTAAGTCGAGGAGTGGCTGTATATACTGAAAGGCATATAAAGACAAAGACACAAACATACATAAGCAGTTAGATACAAAGAAAGATATAAAAAAGAAGACAGACAAAAACACAAATGAGTAAGAAGGAGCACAGTTACGTCTTTCCTCTATAGGGTATGAGAGTTGCCCCATTAGTTTACCTTTTCATAGGTGGTGATAGTGATAGTGCCATGCTGGTGGTGGTGGCAGCTCTCGTGTTTCATGCTTCAGTTGGACATTTTCAGCTGTGATGATGCAGTTAAATTTCCCAAAGTTTTGTTGTAGCATCTCCTGTAACAAATATTATATTTACTGTACTATAAAGAACTTGGGGAGATTAGGTTCGGTTAAGTTAACATCAGGGTGTTTTATCACCTGGTGAAATAAGCTGGGGTGTCTAATCTTCATGTCATCCATTCTTTCATCTGAGGTTTTAACTATGGCCAGTAATGAAACAGCCAATAACATGGTGACAAACTTTACAAGTGGAGCAATTTGGCTGAGTGACATAAACAGAGCCAAACAGAGGTCAATGTAAGGTCATTCAATTTACATATTGAAGTCAAATACTGCAAAGAGGTGAAGGTGAGGAGCCACCCAGCTAGGAAGTTAGGTTAGGTAGGTTTCCTTGGTTGGTTAGGTCAGATTCCATTAGGTTTTAGTAGTTGCCTCTTTTAAAATACTATAATGATAAGGAAAAAAACGAAATCAAACAACTTCTCCTGGTGTTCTCAGACATTACTTTTTAGTTTTTTACTCTTTCTCCCTGTAAATAATAAATATAAATATGAAGTTTTGAGGTAAACCTAAAACGAAACTTAACCGAAAGTAAAACTGATACCTTCAAAAAAAGCTGTGTTTTCCATTTTGATGCTATTCTAAATTGTTTTGGGGGTACGTTTAATTTTTTGGGGGTACGTTTAATTTCTGACACACAATAGGCTAAGGTACATTGTGCTATAAAACTCCTATTTTTATGTTGTACAGTAGCTGAAATAATATAAGCTTACCTTTTGAACACGGCAGTTGTAATGTTGGTATTCCTTACTCGCTAGTCTCCTTGGTACTGGTAGTCCATTGGCCTCAAAATGGAGGCAGCATTTTTGGCCATTTTAAGCATTTGTAAAGTCTTTCCTCTTGCACAAATGAATCCACCATCGTCTCTGCTCTTTATCTTTCAAAAAGCGATGGAAAATTATCTCAACCCTGAGTTTAATTTGAGATAAACATCCAAAAACAGAGTCAGTGCTTGGCATGATTGTTGTTGTTGACATGTGTAGTGACGTCACGGCCTCCACCTCATGAACTGTCAGCGGTGGCGTCTGCCTCCACTATGGATACAGTGATTTGTGCACATTTTCACCTTATAATAGGGATATAATAGCTCTTGCTTCCATATACTTTCACTTCCAACTGTCTATATTTCAGTTTATACTCAATAAATTTTAAATAGATATAATAATGCTCAAGTTATGACCAACTCTAGGAGATGTCTTAAATATTTCTGAGGGGTCTGCCCATATCGTCACCAACCCGTTTCCTCACTACTATTTTTAACCCGTTTCGTAACCACTGCTTTACCCATTTCGTCACCGCGTTCATTCTCATCAATATATACACAAAATTAACTGTTGCTTGGAATAGAAAATAATAAAAAACACTAAATCATTATATTAAAGATGAAAATAAAATTAAAAACATTGTTAATACGCCTGCAATCATCTCACTGCTCGGTGGTTCAAGCGTTGGTACAAAATCACCTTCATTTGTTCTGTATTTTTTTATTTACGAATGTTTTAATCGTTTTATTTAAATAATTTGTATTCTCGTACGTATAATAATAACACAATACTACTCGAGTCGTCTGTATACATGTGTATAATTTCTATTCATGTAAAATAATAACTTACAATTTGTCATTAATACCAGCGACTGTTAGTGGTGACGAAACGGATTTGATATTGGTGACGAAATGGGGAGTATCCGCCAAGTCTAACTGATGACGCTTTCAGCTGATGACACATAACTATAATGATTCAATGTATTGAGAAAATTTTTCTCTCATTAAAAACCCGGAACAAAAGCTACAAAGTTTATGACAGAATATTTCATGGATATGGAAAGTAAGTTAAATGTACTGAATATTGTATTACATATGTTGTGTCATGTGAGAAGCTGTACTTTAATTACATTATCACTGTACTACAGTACATGACTTGCATGTATTTACTGTGTTACATTACCAATACTGTAATTGTATTTTCAATATGTATTCATTTTTACTAAACATACACAGTACAATCTTACCTTACTATTTACATGTTGAAGCTAAAATGTTTCACTTATACATCATTCTGTTATTGTCTAACAAATCCTCACCATTTAATTCAATTAATTTTTGTCATGATGAAAATAATGAAATTATTTGGCATTTAATATACGTTAAGTCAATTATTTAATACTCTTATCTACATTATGTAAAATATCAGTGCAGCAAGATGTTAAAATATTAACAATTAAATTAGCTTTGTTGATATTAACAATGATAAAGTAGTATGATTAAATAGTGATTGTGGCTGAACACAACTTGTTCCAAAGTTAACACAACAGATGGTACAACAGTGTCTGTATTAATAGACAGAACAATATTATTCATCTGCTGTTAACACACAAAATATTAATTGAAGTGTTGTCTCATTACTCTAAATAAATTATATTATCAACAATATTCCTTTCACAATGTACAAATTACTGATGCAACAATATTTATGCTGCTATAATGAACAACCTCTATGTTCAGCCTTCAATAACATCAATGGACTTCATTTGTTTTAGGGAATATGTCACATCATTTGTACTAGTTTCATAAAATTCCTTTGACAACTGTTGAACAGCTACTGAAAAAAAACTCTTGAGGTACTGTACTGGCATACCTCAATATACCAACGGATTAGGTTCCAAAACCCCCCTCGTTAAGTGAATTTTCATATCTTAAATAAATGAACACATGGAAAAAATAGGGTTCGGTTCCCCCAATGACAAAAATACTCCAATATCATACCCCGCAAAACACAAAATCAGTTCACAAACAAAAACAATACCTACAATCGGTACCTCTAGAAAGTGAGTCTTCTGAGCTTCCTAATTGTGTGCCATCTGAAGGGGAAACTTGTATGTATACAACATCAGATTCATCTGTGCTTCCTGCAACATTGCCTGTTGCTACACCATCTACAACTAGCAATTAAACCACTACCGATGATATCTGTACATAGTACAGTCCAGTATTTAAAGATATTAACTGAAAAGTCTGTACATTTAAAAATTTCATATGGTACCGTAGCCCGTATGTTTAATATTTGTGTTCATTTGTACATTTTAAGTGTTTGTATAGTACAGGGACTGTCGGATAAATTATTGCATGTTCTTGTAGGCACACCCAAGTACAGTATCCAAACCATCGTTGGTCCCCCAGCAACACTCCATACACTGAGTACAGTATACACCAGTCCCCCAGCAACACTCCATACACTGAGTACAGTATACACCAGTCCCCCAGCAACACTCCATACACTGAGTACAGTATACACCAGTCCCCCAGCAACACACCATACACTGAGTACAGTATACACCAGTCCCCCAGCAACACTCCATACACTGAGTACAGTATACACCAGTCCCCCAGTAACACACCATACACTGAGTACAGTATACACCAGTCCCCCAGTAACACACCATACACTGAGTACAGTATACACCAGTCCCCACCATACACTGAGTACAGTATACACCAGTCCCCCAGCAACACTCCATACACTGAGTACAGTATACACCAGTCCCCAGCAACACCTACACACTGAGTACAGTATACACCAGTCCCCAGCAACACACCATACACTGAGTACAGTACACCAGTCCCCAGCAAACACACCATACACTGAGTACAGTATACACCAGTCCCCAGCAACACACCAGCCATCCATACACTGAGTACAGTATACACCAGTCCCCCAGCAATACACCATACACTGAGTACAGTATACACCAGTCCCCCAGCAACACACTACACACTGAGTACAGTATACACCAGTCCCCCAGCAACACTCTACACACTGAGTACAGTATACCCCAGTCCCCTAGCAACCAACACACTATACACCAGACCCCAAGCAACACACCATACACCGAGTACAGTATACACCAGTCTCCCAGCAACACTCTTCACACTGAGTACAGTATACACCAGTCCCCTAGCAACACACTATACACCAGTCCCCTAGCAACACACTATACACCAGACCCCAAGCAACACACCATACACCGAGTATCTCTGTTGCCGCCTCATATAAACAGAATACAAGAACTTACTGGTAATTATCACATTTACCATGACAGGGTGTGCACTAGAAGAGCCCTCATATGTTTTCCAAGAACAAACAACTCATGATTTTACTTAAGGTGTTTTTTACACCAAGATCATTTCACTGCTGCATGACATTTCACATGCCTTATTAGACCAGATTTTTGTGCAAAGTCTTTCTGACACTCTGGACACTGGTAAGGTTTCTCTCCTGTATGAACTCTCATATGTTCGATAAGATGAGATTTTTGTGAGAACAGTTTTTGACATTCTGCACACTCAAATGGTTTGTCTCGTAAATGAACTTTCATGTGTTTCACCAAATATGATTTAACTTTAAATTCCTTATTACACACTGAACACTGGAATGGTTTCTCTTCAGTATGATTTCTTATATGTATTACAAGAGAGCTTTTCTCTGCAAAATTTTCAAAACAAATATAACACTGAAAAGGTTTTTCTCCTGTGTGAATTTTCATATGTTTTACTAGATTAGAATTTGATGAGAAGCCTCTCTGACACATAATGCAATGAAATGGCTTCTCTCCAGTATGAATCCTCATATGTTGTTCTTGATGAGATTTGTGTGAAAAGTCTTTATTACACACTGTGCACTGGTAAGGCTTCTCTCCTGTATGAATTCTCATGTGTCTCACCAGAGAGAATTTATGTATGAAGTCTTTATGGCACACAGAACACTGAAATTTCTCTCCAGTATGATGTCTCATATGAGTTACAAGAGATGATTTATGAGTAAAGTAATCTAGACACACTGAACACTGAAATGGCTTCTCACCAGTATGAATTCTCATGTGCTCCTCCAGATGAGGTTTTTGTGTAAAGTCTTTCAGACACATTGTACACTGATAGGGCTTCTCTCCTGTATGAACTCTCTGGTGCTGTACAAGTTGACACTTATGTGAAAAGTCTTTTTGACACACTGAACACTGAAATGGTTTCTCTCCAGTATGAACTCTCATATGTGATGCTAAAGAGAATTTATCTATAAAGTTCTTAAAACATTCTGAACACTGATATGGCTTCTCTCCAGTATGAATTGTTTTATGTTTTACTAAACAAGCTTTTCTTGTAAATTTTTTTTGACACACAGAACACTGAAAAGGTTTCTTTCCAGTATGAATTGTCATGTGTTTTATTAGATTAGATTTTATTGTGAAACATTTTTGACACTCTGGACACTGAAATGATTTCTTCCTTGAATGAACTCTCATATGTTCTTCCAGATGAATCTGGTGTTTAAAGTCTTCTTCACACTCTGAACACTGAAACAATTTCTCATCTGCAGGATCTTCCACATGGGTCAGCAGAGATGACTTCTGTGTACACGTTTCAGACATTCTGGACACTTACGGGTCACCTCTCTGCCTCTTGCTACATGTACTTCATAATTATGGACAAATTTGTAAGCCAGTCTAAAGCACCTAAACTGTCTCTCTTCTAAACGATTTTCAAATGTATTGCTATATTCGATTTTTTCAACATCTTTTAAACATTTGAATCAATAAAATGAGTGTTGTTATGAGTTAACTTTCATTCTATCACTTTTATTAACAAAGATTAATGTGTTATATGTGTTGGAACTATTTCTAAATGTTTGGCATGAAGCATTTACAAATATTGTAATACTCAGAAGTTAAAGTTTTTGTATCTCCAACCAGGACACTGTTTTGGTGTTCTTCTCGTATAGAAACCTGCTGCTGTACTTGTCTTGCAGTTAACATCTGTGGAAAAATCTTGGAGTCAATGAAACAATTTCCAAACAATTAATTTAACATCTATGAAATAAAAAAAATATTGGTGAGATCCTCGATGAAAATATATTGAGCCACATTGTCTAGTTTGCAGACAAGAAGATATTTGGGAAGGTAGCAAGTTAAGACAATGTTGCAATAATGCAAAAAGAGGTCCATGAGCTGCTCATTTGGTCTCAAGACTGGTCAATGCTCTTTAATGTTACAAAACGTATGACTGTACATAGGATACAACAACCCTAATCACAACTATTCTGTTAATAACACTTCCTTGGATACTGTGGATAAGGAGAAAGATTTTGGCTTTGTGATAGATCAGTCACTAACAGCACAATAAGGGAGAAGCAGGGAAAATATTCAACTGGATTTGGGAATTAAAAGGTGTCCCTTAGAATACAAAGACAGGAAATTACTCTTTCAACTTTATAAGACTCGTACATCTCAGTCTGTATTACTGTAAACTGGTGTATGGAATCCCTTGAAAAGGTGCAGCACACAGCAACTAAGATGATTCTGGAACTATGTCATTTCAATTATCCAAGTAGACTGAGGGCTTTAGGATTAATAACACTTCAGACAAGGCACAGTAGAGCAGATTTCATTGAAACATTAAAAACCCTGATAGGGATGGAAAACATGAACCTGGGCCATTTCTTTGTGATGTGCTGCACCATCAACATTAGGGGACATAGCTGCAAGTTCACCAAGTTATCATATAGAATGATTGATAATGGTGGAGGAGATGGTTAGCACCAGAAGGACCTTATGGAAATGTACCAAAGTTTCTGGAGATGTTATATGCATGATACTATACACGAAAATAAAAACAACAATGCATAGAACCTGACCGAACTTCTTAACCGTGGGGCTACGCCACCCAGACTCCCACCATATCAAGCAGAAAGAACTTACTTTGATATCTGGTACCGATGAAAGACACTTTCTTGAAGCTATATTGTGTAATTTTACTTTTTTTGTAGATGCGAGAGTACAGTTGGTCTTGCAAGGGTTAATATTGACGATTGACCCGCAGACGAGTTATTTGTTTTACTGTTTACTTTCTTACTTTATTTTCATCAGTGAGTTCTGATATGATAACCATTTCTTGTGCAAATGCTTTGTTTGGTAGATAAGTAGGCACCTAGGCACACAATACTTTGTCTTTTCGGCAGTGACGTCTCATCCCAGGATGTAAACAGTCAATCACATTGACGTATTTCAAAACACTCCGCCACCTGGTTTTGACCAATGCCAATATTTAATGTATTCTTAAGAACCATTTGGTATGGATGGCTGCTCTCACGTGAACAAAAAAACAACAAAATTGCACCATATCATAGGAAGTTCTTTCTGGTTAATATTCCAGGAGGTGGAGCCCCCAGCTAGGAAGTTAGGTAAAGTTAGGTTGGCTAGATCAAGGTTTTGTTAGATTCTGTGAAATACTGTTTTCATTTTCGTGTTTAGCGTCATTCAAATAGTATCTCCAGAAATTTTAGTTAAAATCCATAAATTATTTCAACTATTAACAGTGTTCTCCACCTTTACCCATAATACACCGCCATACTGGCCTCAACCACTAACTAAATTAACAATTAACTTAATTTAACTTACTGGTGATGGAAAATAATGTCAAATGATCCTCTTTGTCTCCAGTAAATCCTCAATGACGATCACAGTAATAAACATTCCTCCATTATCCACTTCTTGATATAATTCTCACTAATGATGCTGTGTGTTTTAGGCTTTATAACTTACAAATAATAACAAACTCTGAGGTTATTGGCTACTTGCTATCTGGACGCCATTTGTTTTAATACATCAATCAATGTTAAGTTAGCTGCAGCCTGTAGGGTCCTGTAGTGACGCCC